GTGCTCGATTACTTGGGGTTATACACGGGTCGTACGGCTTTTGGGGTATAAGTTACTGTGCTGTGCTATGGGATTGGGGTGTGGAGGACTTCATCATATTCGAGATCGGTATTGGCGCAATACGCCGAAGCTGGAGTGGAGTGCCTATATTATACTCACAATGTCGTGACATTTATAAAAAAAAACTGACTGACTGGGATTAAATACAGCCAAGAATTTGGCCGGAGCTTCAGAATTTTAGTGCATCACGAGTTTGTCATCGGCGCTTGAAAGGTAGTATCATCCCTTCCGGCGGGCATTCCCCGTGGTTGTCTATGACTTTGGACTGCCCTGTGGTCTCCCAGTACAGTACTCTACTTTACGCCACGCTGGTCCATGTTTCTTTGGTGGAAAAAAAAACGAGAGAGTGTGTAACCTGCGACTTTGTTGTTCATTCCGAGTCATTAGCATAATCTATGCAAGTAAAAGCAGCAGTACAATATTATAAGTGCCCTGTTGACATAATCCCGCAATCACACATACCAATATATGACTAAAAGCTTTTCCAATATTAAGAAGTATCATAACTATTGTTATATAAATAATCCCACCCCCTCAAAAAACTAGGTTGAATACAGGCTCAACTGAATAAAGGTTATTATTGTCACAAACCGGATTGTGACAAGGTCTAACGATCCTACTCCTTCCTGCTTAATTCTTCAATAGGTAATGACCTTACCTCTTCCATTCTCTCGATATCTTGATAACTCAGAGAACTCTGATCTTCACTATCACTTCTGATACTGATGATCATCTTGTACTCGCATTACTATTAGGAATACTGAGATCTGATACCCAGAAGTCACTCTAAGTAGGGTAACCTCACCCAGAATTGGAATCTCTGGTCTCCAACACTCCCCACTGGCCCCCTTACGGGACCTGCACGTCATCATACATATTAATCTCAGTTGCGTCCTGTGAATATAATGCTACAGAATCGAAAGTGTCAGAATAACACTGTATTCGTCGCCGCTGTCTATCCGACCTGATCCTGTTTGCAGAATACATGAGAGGGGACCTTTGGCTAGGTCTGAGAAGTGGAACAGAGTAACTCTGTCAACTACTCAGAATGTTACTAGGCTTCAAAGATGTGATACCTTTGGCATAGGCCGTAAGTAACAGGACGTTTCTACACAAAGAGATGTTATTGAATGGTAAAGGATCTCAGCAAGAGACCAATACATTCACACTCACCCTACAATTTTTAGAAGAGTCTAGAACTCTGAGAAACACTACTATAGAAGTTATTAGACTTCACGGAGTGTTGCAACCAGGTTTCTGAACACATTGTAGTTACAAAGACAACTTCTCATACGACAACAGTAATTGAAATCCTGTTATTCAAAGCAACCAAGGGTTGTCGACTGAGGGAATAATTATCAATACGGTAGAATAGCTTTCTGCGAATTAGTAGGAAGTCCTCTGGAAGACATTTATAGGTTGGGTAAGGAGTTATGGAGGTTTAAAGTCAGGCAACCAAAAAAGAGTTGTGATTACAACTACCTTCGCAGATACAACCCACAGATGAAACTGATCATTTCATCAATCACGAAGACAATTAAAGCCAACTGAGTTCAACTTGAGAACTAGGCCGCAAGTTTAAAGACTCTAAAGATCGGATAACTACTATTGGGAACAGTATGGTTTCGAGTTAGTTATATCATAATTAGCAAAGAGGGTGTGGTGATTTTCAGGGTCTCCTGGTGTTCACACCTTTTAAGAATACCCGACGTTGTGAGTTATAATCAGAAAGGTATATAGTAGTATGATAAATAGATGTAGTCTGCGAACACTCAGATGCAGAATATAAATATTGAAGTGCCTTCCAAGCTTTAGACATCATCAAGCAACAGAGAAGAGACCTTAACATTATAATATTGTTTTTACAATTCTATTTTACTTTACCGAATTTACTTCGCTCTTAGTAGTCATAAACGAAAAGAGTGAACCTGAGCCTTCCTAGACAATCTCCATCTACAGAAATGAATTTTGATTAGTCTAGACAATTCTGAAGTCTATCAGATTGTCTCCGTCTAACATACAGGTCCTCCTCACTGGTACGCTCTTCGGAATCTCCCTGTCATTGTACCCTCTGTAGGTTTGATTTGTTTTGTTAGTTTTCTACTGTGGTGGAGGTTTTGCGAGAGGATATTTAGGCCGGGAGCTAGTGTTTTTATGTTTGTTGGATGAGGAACCTGGTCGAGTTGGTCTTTTGCTCGGCTTCGGCTACACTTAGTGCTGATTGACTTCATACCAGGGAGGCTATAGACTTGGACTGCAGTGGGTACTGAGTTGTTTGATCGTCTTATAATTAGTTCTAGTACAGGCATGACTCGGGGATGGTAGGTGCAGGTCAGTAGACTTAGTTAGCTTAGGATTAGTAGTATACCGGTTAGCGGTATCCCTGTGACAGCAGGGGCTCATCGTATACCAGTGTTGGCAGTACAAGTTTAAATAAAATTAGATTCACTTCTAAGTACTTTTCCTACTTATTACTATAACGAATATAAAACACCTTTATGCTCTTTATCATTATCATGACCTTTATTGACTGTTACGTTAAGAGAACTTTTCATGAAGAAGAGTTAGAAAAAGCTTACGATAGGCGTTTTCAATAGGAGACAGAGGTCTTGTACTATCAGTAACTTTGACATTGGCCTAGAGCTATCATAAGACTAAGAAGAAGAAGAGAAGTATCGTTCCCCATTGCCAAGAAATAACCATCCGAAGAGGGATTATTACAAATCCCCTCAATAGAACATGAAATCTGCAAGTAGACAATAATCGGGAAGCTGTAGACATTTTACCGAAAGGGGCCTATAAGTAATCATGATGAAGAGCTCAAAGTACCATTATTGTGAAATAACTAGCAGGGGACAAAATGGTGCAAACAAGTAATCCGCAATGCAACCACCAACACAGACAGACTTAACATCAAGAACTGCAGAAACTACTGAGCGAACTCAGATATCTCCTCCAGAATCCAAGACAAAAAAGACCATCGTGGATGCAATAGAAACGCTGCCAAGGTGGAGAGAAGTCAAGAATGAGGAAAGGACTTTGAACAAAGCGTGAAGAGCCTATCCTCCTCAGCCGTACTGGCCCCCTTATATAGTACTCTTTCCGCCCTAAGTCATGTGACCCAAAGTTGTCACATGCGCAAAACCAAATCATAACAAACTAGTCATTTAACCAAAGTGGTCACATGCACAAAACCCATGACCTCATAATGAGGTTATGTTCAAAACATAAATCATATGCGCAAGGCATACTCGCCAGGTGCATCTCCCATGACTCATAATCAAGTCATGTTTCTAAACACAACAAATCCTAACATAACAAGTCTATGACTCAAGTAAGTCATATGCGTGAAATGATAACATACCTATAACTCATAATCATAAGTCATATGAAAATCCTTTCCTTGCTAAGCCATGTTCATGACATACTGAGCCTTTCTAGACAATCTCCATCTATACCAAAGATTCCCACCCAAGCCTTCTCAATGCATATTAGAGTTGGCCTCCGCCTAACAAATTATAATATTCTACAGCTTGTAATACCACGTATTTGGAAGCTTAAAAACATCTGTTCTCCAGCACCAAGGTTGAATGAACTTCGAGTCTGGTTGTGGCGAACAAGTGTGATTTACGAAAGCACACTCTTGCTAATAGAATATTCTAGAAATCCTAATTCCATCTGCGAACTTCTCCTTGCAAGCATAAATCCGAAATATCATCATACACTAGATAGGCGCACCCTCAAGTCCTCGAAGAAGAAGAGATCATCCAGCCCCCCCCCCCCTAGTGCGTGCCAAACCACGCAAGACAAACATCGTCACGCTTTATAAAAAATAAAAAAAATAAAAACACCTAATGATACCCCCTCCTCTATCCATCCCCCCCCTGCAAGCTTTCAAAAAAACGATTGGGAAAGGGAGGAGAAATACATGAGTATCATACCATGTTTAAACAAATTAAATTAATTGAAGGGGGGGGTTAAAGACGGTGATTTTGAATCCTCACATACATATCATAATGTATACTTTCCAAGTTCGTACACCTTCCGATGAACCAATTCCTAATGTTTTCTAGCACTTCTGACAGGAGCAAAAAAAAAAAGGTATGATACTAAAGTGAACCTCCCTCCCCCCAACTTCTCGTGTATTGATGACTCTCCGCTGGTAGTACCACCGAGTGATAACTGATGACGCCATAAATAAACAGAACCATGAACTGGGGGGGGGAAGTCAAGCGCTAGAAGACCATATCACCTTACAACACGTTATTGCACCAGTGCACTACTCGTAATGCTCGAGGCGACCAAATGTTTACGAGTAACAGAAACCGTTCATGCCGTTATCCACCAGCGCAAGCCCCTTTTCCCATCACCCCCTCCCTCGCTTAAGGGGTGTACCGACGGTACCGTAGAACTCCACCGTATCCCACGATATGATAGGTATCATATATTTATAATACCTACTTGCTACTTGCTTGCTTACTGCGCCCGCCTTTCGCGCTGTAACGGCTAACGTATCAGACAACGTCACGCCCAGCGCTCATTGGTCAAATTGCAGTGCCACCCCAGGAAAGGGGGGGATTGTGGCTCGAAGAAGGAATCCGCAGAACCGTAAAATCTCGCACATAGCGAACACAGCGAGGCTTAGTCACTGCCAGAATCGGTCGCTACGAGAGGCCGGCTTCGCAACTTTGCGGTGACCGCAACAAAAAATTCTCAGAGAGGCTTGCAAGTTAATGAAAGGCTATATTAATCACTCGGGTCGTGTTCATTATGTGCTAGACTTTAACGGTACTTAATGACGGTAAAAAATACGGTACAATAGACTATATACTACTCGAGAACTCGATACATGCACCTAGGTCAACGGGTGCGGTTGGGAATCACCGGGGCGAGCCTTCCCGGACTTCCACTGGAAGCAAGGTGAAGGCTATGGTGGGGGTGGGGGGGCCACAGGAGGGCAAGAAAAAAATAACTAAGAAAAATAATACTTGTACAGAAGAAGATTATGAATAGGGGCCATTGGGTGGGTTTATTGAGGGGAATGGGGAGACTATTGTCCTCGGCCTCCACCATTGTTGCCACCGTTATTGTTATTACCACCTATAAAAGTTAGCTTCAGAGTTCAGAAGACCGAGTGAGTGAATATGAGGACTAACCATTCCCGCCAACAGTAAATTTGGTACAATCATCCTGTGCACCACGCTGAGCGATGGGCATGATGACCGGCTGATGGTTGGATGCAGAACTGAGGGTGCAAAGTCGATATGCACCTGCCGGAAGACCACCAGTAACGACAGCCTCGAGATTGCCGTTTCCATCACCACGGTCATTGATACCCTTGAAGAACTCAAACACACCGGCGTCGGGTGCCTTATTGGTGTTCAAGGCATCGAGCTTTTGAATCGTAATATGGGTGTGTCCAACAACTTTCCCGCCCTGGAGCTGCTGTGGGGCGGCATAGTAGGTGTTCGCAGGGTCTAGGGAATTGACGTTAGCACTGGCTAGAATGCTCATATGGGAAAGGTAGAAAAGACATACTAGTAAAGCTTCCAGCGACTAGATTCCTGGTGGTAACCTTAACAGTGAACTCAGTGTTTGCCTGGATGTTCTGGCCAGGTGTAGGAGAAGTGATGATCGTGGAGACCATGTTGGAAGTGGAAGGGATATCTCCCATGACGATGCCATTGCAAGAACCGCTCTTGACTTGAAGACCGTTCGTCAACGTCTTTCCTTTGCAGAAGTTGATGAAATTAGCCCCGTCAGTAAGTGACTCGGCTTGATTGGGATCGTCGCCGGCTTCCTGGCCGGTTTTGGTGCTAGCGTCTTGAACATTGGCAGGGTCGAGAGCGAGGTTGCCGGCATTATTGTTTCCACCGTTATTGCCTCCATTGTTTCCACCGTTATTGCCTCCATTATTGTTTCCACCGTTATTGCCTCCATTATTGTTTCCTCCGTTATTGCCTCCATTATTGTTTCCTCCGTTATTGCCTCCATTATTGTTTCCTCCATTATTCCCTCCATTGTTGCCGCCGTTGTTGCCTCCATTGTTTCCTATAGTACGATTTAGTAACGTATCAGGCATGGATACAGGATAATCTACAAACCTCTATTGGTAGGGCTAGCACTAGCACTTGAAGATGTAGTAGTGCTGGCACCAGCATTCCCATTCCCGCCCCTCCTACCAGAAGTAGTAGTCGAAGCAGCCCCCGAATTATTATTCCCGTTCCCGCCCCTCCTGCCAGTAGTAGTCGCAGCAGCCTCCGAATTATTCCCGCCCCTCCCCCTAGTAGAAGAGCCCGCCACAGCTTCCGGTGCGATGTCGGTAGCAGTTGGAGCAGCTGAAGTTTCCTCCTCACCCTCAGGGATTTCCTCATCACCCCCATCGACCCCCGTCTCCTCTGGCAAAGTAGAAGTGGTGACGCTCCCATTTGCCTCAGTAATCGTAGTTAAGGTATCCTCATCGGGGACAACCGTTTCTGTGACCTTCCCATCCGGCAAGGTCATGGTTGTCGATACAAGGTTGAAGACATCTGTAACAGTCGGTGTAGGTTTTCCGTCATTGCCCGTAATAGTCGTTGAGATGTTGGTGCCATCACCTGGTTGTACAAAAAAATAGGTTAATTGATTAATTAATTGTTACCAGGTGTTCGTTAGAATAGGGTAACCTACCATTAGGACCGCCAACACCTCTTCCCCTACCTCTTCCGCGACGACCACCACGACCCCTTCTTGGCGCGGCTATAACGACTTCTGAAGAAGCCAAGAGGAAGATAAGAAGAGCGCTGGTAGAGAACTTCATGATGATCTATCCGAAAGTAGGTTGGTTATATATCTTCAGGTAGAATATATATATATATAAAGGTCGTCAAAAGAAAAAATTTGAATGGTCAAATTGTGATTAAAGCGCACCACCGGGATGTGTGACTAGAAAACTGAGAGGGAGAGAAGGCCTCCTGATTGCAATCAATGCAAGAGGGGAACGAATAGCAAACGAAAAGGGAAGGAAAGAAAGGAACTGAATTCCTTGGTAATACCCGAACCAAAGAATGACTGAAGATATTCACCACAAGTGGAAGATAAGGAGAAAAGGAGGAGGGAAAGGGAAAGGGAAAAAAAGACCAAGAAATGGACGGGAATAGGTGCAGATATAAACGGCCGCCCGTACATGAACCTCTGTTTCCAACCACCCACCAACGAGCCCACTCCTTCCCCCCCCTCCACATCTGCACATCCCTTTCCCACGATGAACCAGAAGCGGTCGTACCAAATATCACCCAGGAGGGCTAAGATCCCACATTCTGCAGATGGATAGGGACCTGATTACCGCACGTACTAGTACGCAGCCAACACCTCAAACCGCCCACTGTCATCATCCCCCTTCTTGACCCCCAGTATTCCTTCGCCACTGCACTTGTATCTTATTGACCGGCAAGAATTCCCCAAAAGCACCACGTACAGCATACCGGTATTACACGAGGACATAAAAAAAGAAGGGGTAGCTCCTTTCTGCCCGGGTAGTGCTATCCAAGCACTAGGGGGTACCCTATTGAAAAGTGGTCCTGAAGAGAGTCCCAAAAGAGACATAGCGTGAGAAAAGAATAGTCTATGTTATAACCAAGCCAGGCTACTCCTTCCAGCTAAGCAAGGCGAATGCTTGAGCATGCCAACCAGAGTTCAGTTACTGGAGGGCAAGCGGTTTCCAGTAGAGTACGAGTAGACAGGCTGCGGTCGGCTGAAGGTCGGATCCTCATGCAGCGCCCGCAATTAGAAGCGCGCGTCCTGGAGAGAGCGATGGATAGAATCCAGTCTACCCGACGATCATCCCATCACGCAAAAAGCACGGGCAATCCAACCAATGGAAGTATCCATTTCTTTCCCTTCCTTCCCTTTTTCTTTGAGGGGAGGGGGATTCACGCTGAATTGGCTCGAAAAGGGCTTGCCCAGGTTTCACTTCCGCGGCCTGTTGAAACGACAAGAGAGACTCCCTAGGGGGACAAGAACTGAACCTCAACCGAGTTTTCGCAATCAAGCTATGCCGAATCAGTGTAAGCGCCTGACTCAAAGAATATAGCTAGGCCTTAAAAGGCCTAGTGACCCACCCGGGGGTCGTTCGGTTGTTGGAAGATGTTTGGATCTTTAAACAGGAGGTCTTCGCTTGAAACGTTTTCGGTTTGCGGCTTAACCTTGGCGGTCAATTTATGGTTAACAATGACAGGGGATGGACCGGGGACTAAAGATAGTTTTCCCTAGTACCGAGACCTTGTAACCCGACCTCAACTCCCTCCCTCCCTTGGTATAATCCGCCATTTGTATGATAGAGCTCAAGTATGATATTTTGTCAATTGTCGGTAACCCGATCGCTTCCTAGCGCTCACGGAAGACGGATAGATGAAGAAGAAGGAAAACTCAAAAACACCACACTACTGGTATTTTCTTTCCTCAACATCTACTTATTCACACCCCTTGCCAACCTGGCCTTCTGTCCTCCGTCCAGCGGTGTGGGTCAGGAAGTTAATGCAACTTTTCTCTTCTATTCCTAGTACTGTACGATACCGGTACTGTAACTCGACCCTCGAGTATATTTGCCAAATTCTGGGCGGTACGGTTCTACCATTCTTGGCCCCCTGAATTACTTCACTTTCTACTTGTAGCAATTACAATAATATTACGGCGCCCTACGAGATCGGTGGAATCGTCCCAGTGGGCTCACGTTGAAACCTCCCCCCAGGAAAAAAATAGGCATTCAAGTACGAGTACTTTCATGGGTCAGGGAAGAAATACAATCGGCGTGCAGTTCCTGGTTTCTTCCTCCCCCGTCTCCCCTATCGATAACCGGAGTCCAACTTACCAACACTATGTGTAACGAGTGTTCATGGGAAGGAAATACCGACATTAGAAGAATTCCCTCGGAACCTGCCAGACAAACGGTTTCGAGATGCTACCGGTAGTTTTTGTTGTAAAAAAAAAATTTATTCTCGTGATAGCCTCATTCAGAGATATCCTAGTACCGGTAATACTACTGGGTGACAGTAGAAACACCTCAGCCGTTCATCCCCCTTCAATTGACGTGCCCTTCCTAATCTCCACCCCACTCCCTCCACACGCCGACCGCCTCGCCACCTCCGCATACCAAGCCAATCGACCGGCAGGAGCACCCCGAGGCAGCCCACAACGTTCGGTAGAGAGCTGGAAGCCTGGATTTGACGTTTCCGCAACATTCCCGGCGTCAGGAATGGAGACCTACGGTACTCGAGTACGCATCACTATGGCACTGGCACTGCGGGACAGCGCCAGACTACCGCCACTAGGACCACCGCATCCGGCGGAAAGATACCACTACCATACTCCTGTATCCTACCATCCCTTGGATCCCCACAACACACCACACACTACTTCAGCTCAAAGTCTCCATCGCTAGCGCCCTTCCTCTACACAATTAAGTCCCCTCCCCCACACACAGGGTTAACCGCAAGAATGTATCAGGACTTGGCGTTTATTTGATTCAAGCAAATGGGAGTTGAAACGTACACAGGCACAAAATTCTGAACCTCGTGCCCTGTAACAGGCAGGTTCGACGAATACGGGACGGTATTGCACAGAACCTCTACCGCACTGCTCCAGTACACTCGCACAATAGCAGGAAGACTCCTTATTACGCACAAATGCTCCCTTTTTTTTCTTTCTTCCCATGAATACTTAAACGCTTTTGAATATTTCTGTGTTGTTCAAGCGGAGGTGGGGAGAGGAGAAAGAGTCTTAAAAGTCGGTACTTTTCTCTCTGCCTTGCTCAGTCTCCTGAGTACAGACAGTACTTTTGCTCGTGCGGCGAGGAATATATGTAATTTAGCACCGTGTACGCCCCCCCCCCCACCAAGGCCGCCAGACAATCATCTACCAAACAATCATCTACAAAACCACGGTTCCAGAAGACAGCATCACTCTAGTCGTTTGACGTACCAGATAGAAAGAATGGATTGTACTTGTACAGCCAGCAAGCCACGCACCCTCACTCTAAACCTGTCATCATAAACCCCCCCGACCTTAAAACTTCTGCTACGGCACCGTACGTTGTACCGGAGAATTTACGTCCGAGGGAAATTAGACTATCCATCCTGCATATGGCCCGCACTTGTACTCGTACTATACACAACGCCCTGTACTCGAGGACTCCCCGAGTACGAGTGCTTCTGTGTTTGCACCTGCGTAGGGGGTTTCTGTCTGACTAATTACCAGTGGCTTACTGTGGACGAGGAGAAATCTGACTGACTGACTGACTCGGAGGCTTGGTGTGCTGTTTGACCATTTATTTCCCCCCTCCTTCTCTTTCTTCTCTTTTCCCGCGCGGGATTCGACTACAATGTCATCTAGTGATAACTCGCAGCTGCTTTTGTTATCGGCATTCTTGGTGAATACGGTAAAGGGGACACAATAGAAAGAGCTCTACGGAGCAGATACTTCGTTGGAACTCCTTTTTTTTTTCCCCCTATCGTTTTTTCTTCTTGTTTATCATTACTGCCTACAAGGCTGTTATTATCATAAGGTCGGTATGATACTGTACTTGTACAGTATGATACCTCTCTAGTCTAGATTGCGCCCTTTGCCCTAGCCGTTGTTATCGCAGATTGCATGCGGGGACTTGTTGGACATATCCCTTGGGATATAGTTGCCATGATAAAATGTTATAATATTATAATAATACCGGTATTTTTGTGATAGGGACACAATACGGTACTAGTTCTCTGCTGGAAATTGGGCTGGGATAAATAGGCGGATAAATAGGCGCGGCAAGGGAGCTATTGAAATAAATATATTTGAAAGCTATTGAAACATCAGGGCCTAGCCAATCCTTCCACGGGCTAAAAGGCGAGGAGTTTATTCATAAGAAAACAGTGACAGCATATGGATTTTCTTCTACCGGATTTACTCGTAGTTCTTAGCACAATACGGAGGAAGGCAGAATCACTTGAGACTATCCCTCGGCTTGGTCAGATCTACGATTATGCTTTAGAGGAGGATTGATTCATCCGCACCGCAACTATTTCTCAAGAGTAGCATTGTCACTAAGATTGGGCAATATTTAGGCAGATAGTGGATAGCCTAGATATGGGCTAGGAAAAGGCCTTGATTTATTTATTTTCGTTCAACCACAACAAGATGGTATTACATATGCACCGCGATTGCTTCCTCCCTACCCTGAAGACATAACCTAAGCATCGTCGAAGACATAGGTGAGATGGCATTTGCCACAGTATTGGCGGTTGGTCATAACAGCCATAAAGACACCGGCACCGCACTAATCAAACAATCGTCAGCAAAGAGTAAACATCCGGGCCTGGGAAGAATTACTGACCCCTTCAGTTGGGCATTCGCGTCTCAGACGCTCGATTTTGCCGTCACCATCAACCTTGTAGTACTTAAGGACAGCGAGTTTGGTCCTAGGCAATACGCCCCGTCAGTTGCTGCCGGACCTGAACCGAAAACTCCTGCAAATACGGACTTACTTCTTGCGCTTGTGCTTGATCTTCTTTGGGGTGGTGTAAACCTTCTTCTTGCGCTTCTTACCACCACCACGAAGGCGGAGGACGAGATGAAGGGTGCTCTCCTTCTGGATGTTGTAGTCCGAAAGGGTGCGACCGTCCTCAAGCTGCTTCCCAGCGAAGATCAAACGCTGTTGATCTGGGGGAATTCCTTCCTTATCCTCTATTTCACTCCATCAGTATGTTTGGGAGAACATCTAACTCGAGTATTGAATTTTGGGGGTTATACGGATCTTGCTCTTGACATTGTCGATGGTGTCCGAAGACTCAACCTCAAGGGTGATAGTTTTACCCGTGAGGGTCTTAACGAAAATTTGCATTGTTGTCTGAAAAAAATGCAAGTTAGGCTATACAATCTTCAATATTTCGATATATTGAGAGAGGGTAAACCGATTAACCACAGCTCAGCAATAATTGCGTCTGTAAGATATCGAAATTAGTATTCCAGGCAAAAAGGCAGAAGCAAAGTTCATCGGGGGGGATGGTACTACCTTCGATGTCGGTCGGGTCGTTAGCGGGGAAAAAAAAAAACCTTGTGGGGAAAGGGGAACTTAAAGATAAGGAACAAAGTTCTGTGTGGTGAATCCGACAAGAGGCCAAACAGCAGTCACAGAAAACCGGACCTGTATTATGTAATCAAAAACCAAGACTTCAAAATGGCTGGTTGCCATGAGGAGACGCGGTCTCACGTGAATGCGGGTATTGCGTCACCCCGGAATGTGTCTAAACGCGCCCGGAGAAACATACGTTGTCCTAGCAACTACGCGCTGCCAAGACCGTTGGTAAACAAATTTCGCGAGCTCTCTTTTCAGAGAAGAATCCTCCTCACCTGAACCGTGATTCCCTTCTTCCTCTTCTCTCTCCATCCCTCGCTCGGATATTAATCTCGTCCCATCTTCACTCATCCTCCTCACCCTCCTTCCTCTTCCTCACCGCTTCCTCTCTCCCTCCTCTCTCCCACTGCTTCTGCTCACAATAAAACAATAATTACCATCGCCTCCGCCTGTGAAGGTCCCCCGAAAGAGTTTCTCCGAAGAAGCTCTCACTAACATAGTCGGTGGTATTATTCCAGAAGCATTCATCCGCCCTCTGGTTCCTGTTAGCACAGAATCACTTAATTCGGACCTGCTGAGAACTTAACTGTTTCCTGGCATTGTTTTACGTGGTTTTGCTACTCGAACTGCACAGTCTTTCACTCCCTCATTTATTTCTCAAGCAAAGATACCCTGGACTCGGCTACTGTCCTATCGCTTCTTAGCCCTGCATCCTTTACTGCGGGTAGCAAATTCTCGTCAGGTTAGATAATTCTCGCATTCTAAATGTGGGCTGTGCGATTGCTCACGTAAGGAATAGTCGCAGGTCGATACTTGCTCTGGATTGGGTCTACATAACACATAATCCATGTTGCAATCACCAAAGAAAAAAATCCAACGGCCCCGCCGACTGACCAGTGTCACCGAGAACCCTATTATCGAGGCCAAACAAGACAACAAGAGGCAACAACTACAACAGCAACAACAACGTAGACAACCACAAGTGCCAGCCTCATACCCGACACCATCGCGTCACAGAGAAGGGTATCGGGGGCAGCAACACCGAAGACATTATTCCGTTCCAGACCTCATGATGCTTGGGTCGGCTGGCCCTAGACTAAGCAGTAGCCACGTGTACCCCGCCAGGAACATGGGAAGTCTTGAAATCAATGTGAATTGTGGTCACGACCAACAGCATCTGACGATGGATAATTTTAATAATTTTTGTGCACTGCAGCCTCAGAGGCCACAGACACCCCCTAATCAGCACACTGGTGGTAAGTATTCAAACTGCTCGAACTACTCATACCATGTCACTCGCTCACTCTGGCTTACTAGAATTCTATCCAGCTACCCCACAAACTCCGTTCGAATGCTTTCCTGCAGGAAACCAGGATGCAGCACAAATGATAGATGACCTATTGTCTAGTATTGGATCTCCAGTATCTCTAACACCAAGACGGGGATCAATGGTCGCGTCAAGTTCTCCGCTAAGAGCTGCCTTCCCCCTGGAAGAGTGTGGAGAACACAACTTGCATCAAGAAAACGGGATCCCTGGTTCCCTCCCAACCCCGCCACATACCGGACAGCTACAGTCTGTAAGCACGTTCGATCTCGCACCTCTACCCCACCCGAACTTTGTAAGCATGGCAGCAGTCAGTATGAGCTCTGAGAGTGAGGGGGAGTCATACTACTCTCCTGTATCCTCAGCCATGTCACCAGCATTTTCTTCAGTTCCATCCACCCCAGAAATGAAGCACACTGCTCTCTATAAAAGTGCCAATGCCAATGCCATGCCAACAGTTCCCGAAAATTCAACACCCTCAATTAGTAGCCTCCCGGTATTAGATCTTCCCCAATTGGCCCCTGCTCCTCGTCACGTTCCTGGGACCCCTTCGCCAGTGCGGGCCCGGGTACCGGCACCCCAACTTACCCAGTCACTCGGAGCAAAGTCTTCTGGCATCACAATGGAGGAGATCTCAAGCTTCATCTCTGGCCCTGATCAAGACGGCAAGTGGCTTTGCCTCTTCCCGGAGTGTAAAAAGAGGTTCGGAAGGAAAGAGAACATCAAGTCACATGTTCAAACCCACCTTGGAGATAGACAATATAGATGCGAGGCCTGCAAGAAGTGTTTCGTGAGACAGCATGACTTGAAGAGACATTCCAAGATCCACACGGGAGTCAAGCCATACCCCTGCTTGTGCGGCAATTCATTTGCAAGGCACGATGCACTAACACGGCATAGACAGAGAGGGATGTGCGTTGGCGCGTTTGAGGGCATTGTGAAGAAGGTGGTAAAGAGAGGAAGACCCCGCAAGAAGCCCCTTCCGGAGGATGACCAAAAGTTGAAAGTGGAGGAAACTTCCGACAGCTCGGCAGCGGATGGATCACCAGGATCCTCGAATCCTCAGACACCATATGAGCTCCCAGACTTTGGTAGCCCGCTTCCCCAGACCCCATCGCCTCATACCCCGATCCTTGGCGAGGAAGAGGAGGCAACACCTCGTTGTAGAGGGGGCTCATCAGATTTTCTCACCCAGCCCACAGGATCGCGGGGCTGTTCCCCCCCAACCTCTCCAAGTGATGAGTATGACTTCGAGTCATTTGTCTCACCGCTCTCACCCTCGTCAAATGGGAATTCCGTTGGGTCCAGTTCACTGGCCGAAAGTGACTTTGTGCCCCCGTATGGACCCCTCGCGATAAATACGACAGCTGCAACGACAGAGCAGGTAGTAGGAGCTTCTATGAAGAAGTTTGGCGTCGGATCATTCGGCTCCCTAGATGAGTACGCATCCTCATCTGGCGCGGAAGAGTTCGGCTTATTTTCTCAGGATGGCATGGATATGCTCGGCCTAACGACACTAGAGAGAGACCCGAGCATATTGAACTTTGACGACATGTACACCAAACCCGAATTTATGGCCAACGCTGAAAATAGCAGTTTTTACTGACCAACCACAAAGAGAGGAATATACATTTTCCCTATCTACCCATCTGTTCCTGCATCATCCCTCGCATCCCATTCGGTGTTTTTTTCTTTTTTTTCTGCGCGTTACATGTTTTTTCTTTCCAAAATCACTTTTTATTGTACGCGCGAGTGATCCTGGGTGAATTTGTTTGTGTGTGTGTGTTTTCTGCTTTTCTTTTCTTTCTTCTGCTGATCTTCCCCTTCCACTCCTCTTTCGAGCCAAATCAGAAACTAGCAAGCGATTACTACTATGACGACTACCAACGAACCAAAAAAAGGAAGAAACGTGAAAGGAGAGGAAAGGCAAATGAAGTTTGCGAAGCAAGGGAAGAATAGGGTGCATTTTTTGGTGGCTAAAAAAGTTTTAGTTCGTATATGGAGTATTGGGAGATGTTGCGGGTTTTTTTTTATCATCATTTTTTTCCACAGTTTGTTTTTACGAGAAGATTGCTGGATACCTGTTTTTCTTTTCTTTTCTTTTTCCTACATTCTTTTCCTCCTTCCGCTAAAGAGCTGGAAGGGGTTCGTGTCGGTGGTTGGGGGGGGGGTATTACGGGGTCCAACTTCTTTCTTTTTTTTTTTAATGAATTTTACGATTGTTCTTTCGCTTCTACTTCTACTTCTCCTTCCACCGCTTTCATTTTTTGTCCGTTGCGCTTCATTTGATTTGCCGGTCGTTTTGGTATCATATCTTTTGTCTACATTACCGGCCAGCTTGGCAGGCAGGCAGGCAGGGGTGTGAAATGATTGTCCGTTCATTGATTTGATTTGATTTGATTTGACTCGAGATTGATTTTCGTATGATAATGAATGTTATAGTGAGAGTGTCTCAACGTTTTTTCTGCCAGTTTTTTCAAAAAAAAAAAAATTTTCAGGAGTTTTGCTATTTAATGCCGCCTGTAGTGATGATGGGGGGTGGGTTTTTGTGATGGTAATGGTATGTGTCGTGGAGGTCGGGAGTGGCTGTTGGGATTGGTAAAGGAGGGAGGGAATCATCTCTATTCATTTTTTAATGTATTTTCTATCGTATACCAACACGTGCTTTAGTTTTAGTGCTCCAGTTTATCTAACATTCTTTGTCATGGACCGAAGAGTACGATAATGACCAAGTGGCCGGTTACCCAGGCCCCACTGTCCCCAGGACAATAGCGCAATACGGGATATCATACATTATATGATACACAAAACCTTTTCAAAGGGACCGTAGTGGAGGCTCGCTCAATCCGAACCCTTTACCTTTCCCTCCTCCAACAAAAAAAGGGGGAAGACATCTATGCTATATACAACGCAAATCACCTCTTATCACTCGTAATTATGCACAATGAATGAAAAATGATGAAGGGGGAGAACAAGATCACCACGTCCTCGACGAATCCTCCGCCTCGCCCTCGCCCTTCCACGGCAGTTTATGCCTTGCCCCTACGGCGTAATCCCGGTATCGCGTAGTCCCAACACATTCCTTGATAACCTTCAACGTCTGCTTATCGTCCAACTGCAAAGCCTTGATGTGCAGTATTGCTATGTCCGACTCGTAAATTTTGTACTTCTTGCAGGTGGTCTTCAGTCGGGCTGCAGCCTCGCCGAGCATCTCGCAGCGCGCGAGGATGTTGATCATCATGCACTCTGCTTTCGCGTCTAGCCTTCTCCGCTCGGCTTCGCGGTACAGCGAGTAGTATTGTTTCGTCAGGAGGTACTTTATGCGGTCGTTGTAGATATCCCAGGCGAACGATAGATCGTAATGTTTGTAGGCGCCGGAAAGTGCGGTTTGAAATGTGTAGAGGTTTCTGGGGACGATCCTTCGGAGTGCGGACTGGTCGGGTGAATTTGGGTGGGTGTTTTTGTCTGGCTCTGCGTCTGTGCCTGTGCCTTTGCCCGTGTCTATGGTGTCGGCAGCAGGGACGCCGTTGGGTTCGGGCGTTAGGTTCCCGGCCCCGGTTCCGGAAGTAGTTGGTTCTAGGTAGTCCGATTCCTTGGGGTCGGTGAAAGCCGTATAGTACAATACTTTGAATTTGAAGGGGTAGTAATGGTTGCAGTAGGCATCGAGGAGGGCGTTCATCAACTGAGTGTCTACTAGGTGCGGTTTTACGGTACAGAGCCATTCCATGACTCGCCTTGCTTCTCTCATGATCTCCAAGCGGGTATTCAGAATTGTGTTTTGAGAGAAAGGTATGGCGTCCTCCTTGAAGCTCTCCTCTTGCTTCACAAGTCTGGTGTCTGGCCCGACATAGGGTGCCGAGGTCTCGGGTGACCCTCCCTCCACAAATTCAACACATTTTTTCTTCCCCCCGGTATTTGCATAGGCTCTGAACAGACATTGATAGGTTGTCGAGTCCGGAACAATGTCTTCCTTCCCGCTACCCAGCATGTGTCTTATTAACATTCTGGCCCTCGTTAGGTCTCCCCTTTTCCCGCAAGCTTGGATCAGTGTTCCAAGCACCCTTCGGTCCATTTTGAACCCCTCTTTTTGCATCTCCGTAGCATACCGCCATACTTCTTGATAATAGTCTTTCCGCACAGCGAGGGCGTGAATCAAAGCATGATATGTCTCTTTCGTAGGTTTCAATCGCATACGGTCTGTCATGTCTTTAAAGAGATTCAGCGCCTTCTCGCTCTCACCCTCCATAGCACATGCATGCAGCATCAGTGCAAAGGTGCGGGTATCTGGCGCTGTTGCCTTCGATTTCAACTTCATAAGGTCGAATATACGCCAAGCTGTTGGAAATTCACGACGATTTAGACACGTTTTAATTAGGGTTGTATAGACGACCTAAAGTAAGTGCAAGTTAGAAGCCCACTACTGATAATGATATCGAATCAAGGCGATACCTGTGGAACCGAGGATACATACAATATTCGGTCGAATACCAGCTTCACGCATTTCTGTGAAAGCCTTTCCGGCTCCCTCAATATCTGCTTGGAGGGAAAATGCTTTAAGAAGATGCGCATAAGTGAATATGGTGGGAGGTACACCCTCTATTGATAACATTGTGTCAGTCAGAATAATCGAGAGATCAGTACATGGACCAGGAACCAATCCTTTACTTTTTTTGAGACTTTCGAATAAGGTTTTTACCTCTTCCGGGCATCCCAACTGCGCATGAGCCATCATCAATAGGTCATATGTTAGCGTGTCCGGCTCTAATTTCGCCTTTTCCATCATTTCCTGTAACTTGAGCGAATTCTCCACCCTGCTTTCAAGACCCATAGACACTAGCAGGCAATTGACATCCACTATCTCCATTCCCTGGAACCCTCCATTGAACTCCAGTTGTCCTATCACCGTACCCCAAAGGGGCGTCGAAGTATCGACCAAGGCCGCAGCGCTCCCTAACCGTTCGACGATCGAGGCCGGTAACATCTTGGATACAGTTTCCGGCTGGGGGAGAAAGACGGCAGTTTTCGACCCGGGTGTCATCAAGGCTTCGTAGGCTTGATCTTGCAACTCCTCTGTCATTTCAAGATCCGGAAGTCTCTATAAGGCCATCCGCCAACACCATCGATCAGCAAATACATCAATCAGCGGTTTTGGATGGGGTATAGACCGACAAACCTTCCTGGCAGCACCCTGAGCTTCAATATCGGCGGCCCGTTTCTCGATGAGCTGGACATGGGCCTCTAAACGTTTTATCATTCCAAGAAATCCGGATGCTCGGGTCCCACGTCCATGCCGGGCATGACTGGCCAAGGCACGTGATTGGCATGACATGCAGACAAACTTCCCTGGAAACTCCAACCTCCAGAACGACGAATGCCCTGCGGTTGCTCTCGATGGCGTTGTTCCGGCTATGGTCTTAGATAAAGGTTGGGGCAATGAGCGGCGAAAGCCAATCCTTAACATTGAAACTCGGAGGGCAGCAACAGCATGAACAGTTTTGCTCCTCTCCAGGGGTATGATGAACGCGAGTGTTTGCAGGGCCGAACGAGGGCGGGGTGGGAGAAAAGGAGAGAGCGTGATATAATCAATTTATCGGATATAGGTTAGATATCAAAAGTGACATTCCTCTTTCCTCCCAAACAGCTCTTCCCCGGTATGATAGCAAGAAAAAAAAATTAAGTTAAAGAAATTGATGTTGCGCAGCAGGGTTTTTACAGGAATAATTTTTACCTTTTTTTCTTCCCCCCACACCCCGCCCCACTAGTACCGGTATGTGCGGCTCTGGTTGGGACATCAACCCCAAGCTGCTCGGCACTCGAGTAGCATTTTGGGCTTAGACCACTTTTTGCTTATCGCACGTGACCTGTTATGTTAGCAAGAGCTTGTGACTTGAGGCAGAACAAAGTTCGACAGATAGGTGCACATTCGATCCCGCGTGAGCACTCGCATCGGAATTTATGCAAGCCTCGCACTGTACTCCTGCGGGCGCAGTACGAGTACGAGTGCCGTACTCATTTCTACTCGTACTGCCAGCTAGCGTGCAGCCTACATTAACCTCTCACTGCTGACTACTCAAAATGGCACAAGAACCTGCCCAACTATGCGACAAGGTGCCCAACGTTAACGAAATTTCAATACTTGCGTGCCTTCCGAAGTGAAACTCCTCGTATGATACCCGAGTACCGTTACTGTACCCTAGCACAGGTACAGTACTGGTACCGGTACCGGTCTCGTGAAGAAAAAGAGAAAAACGCCATTGGTCACAAGTAATTCTGCACTCTCCCTTGACATACAGTACCTCTCCATCCTCAAAATGACGAAAGTTCTCCCAGCCCCGGAAATGGAAATGGTCGAGCCACAGTTTAAGCACCGCAGGGAGAGATTCCAATTTATGCGATGAGTTCTTTCCGTCTGTCGAGTTGCTTTACTAGTAGAGTGGCTTGGTCCGATCGTGGCGGTAGTGATGCGGGTTGGGGCAGCCCAACTTCTAATAATGGTATCATAACTTAATGCAAAAACTCTATATGCTTCATGCCTCTCTCTACTCTGCTGGCGAGATATTCAAAATGGTCGCTGAGCCTAAGCACTATTTCACTACTCGAGTAGACTACCGTACCGGTATTTCGTTCAGGAAGGCACGCTGGCGCTTAACGTCGATATTGGTAGTATGCTAATGCTGGGTGCCGGTACAAGTAGTGGAGGACTGTGCCGGTATTTACATGGCCACCTGAACTTACCGGGGAGCACGAGAGAAATTATCTAAATGCAGGAACCCTCTTTGGGTGCGGACTCTACCTTGGCTAACTACGGTTCGGTAGCTCTGAGCCCCGGATCTTACAATAGGGAAAGGGGAGTTACAAGTTACAACTACCAGGGGAGATGATATCGCAAGGGGCAGGGGTTCTTTTGCGGGTTAACCTGAATTAATTGTTCATTGACTTTTTTTTGACTTTACCGCGGGGGGAGGGGGGACTTGTACGTACTGTTCCTGTCGTGGCCGATATAGATTTGATGGGAATTGGGTTCATGGATTGTCGCATTCGTAGTTAAGAATGCCGGGTATGCCAGCAACCGGGTTTCGTTTCATGATAGAGTGTTAATTGCGGCAACGAAGACGGCCATGACCATGACCCTGCGTTCGAATCCCATGGTCAGTAGACTAGCACTTGCGCTCGCACCGGATCCCGCTCAGTCAGCATCTCCAGCCATATTTGCTACCAAGCCTGGACTGCTGGTATGCCACCGTAAGGGATCCTGTTTGACGTTGCACAATTCGAGAATACGAATCGCCCGCCTTCATGGGCACATCTCCACCGTTTTGCTCCGCGTGTCGTGAGGCTTAGAGAGAGGGGGGGGGACGTTTGATGTGCGTACGGGCGCGCGAGTACAGTATTATGCCACTCTTTCACTCGTCAAGCCTCGCGACAGCTGCTGGACCAGTCTGTGTCCGTGTGGACACACGCTTTACTCGGGCACGAGTTACTGTAGAGTAGCGGTACGGTAGTGCCATGCTTCATCCCGGAAGCGGTAACCCCAGGAGAAAAGGGTCACTCTTTACGGGTGTTAGAGGTTAAAACGGCCCACTGTTTTCCTGCCCAACAGTTAGACCCAGCTTTGCGGGAGGCCTCGCGCCAGCGAGTCACCGGCACAAAGCTGGATTTGCTTAATCGGTACCGCGAGAACCTATCCTCCCGTAAATATTCTTTGGAGGGGGAAAAAAAAAAAAAGAATAAATAAATAGATAAATAACTTCCGGGATTTTAGGAGATTTATTTATATTTGTTGAATTTTGACGGTCTGGCCAATTTCGGATCGCCTTTCAAAGGGCCCGGTCAGTTGTAGGGGTCATGTTTGCACTTGGGCTACGGTAGTCCTCTACCACCTCCCTATCACAGGTATCATATTATATACCTGCACTCGAGTAAAGTGCCTGGGTGTAGGCTAACTTACTCCCAAACGAAGAAACAAGATTGAAGTACCGGCACGGAAGATGAGTGGTCCGGTCACCGTTAGGGAGCGTTGAAATGCCAAGGACAATATACCTGTGATGCAACCTGTATTTGCAAGGTAGATAAGGGTCACGATACGATAGCGCGGAGAGATCTGCACTCATGGGCGATCACCCATACTTTTCCCCACAGACTTATCGTTTATACAAGTATCTCCACTTTCACTCTTCTCCCTCTTTTGCCTTGAATTCGAGGGGTTTCTAGCGTTTGCTGTGCTGACGGGTCGTTGGTCATGCTCGTACGTGCATACAGTAACTTATATACAATTCGTTGAGGGCGGAGGTCGGCACGGAGCCGGGATGATGATAAATCGGCGAAATGGGGGTTCGGGTTGATGAGTATCCGGCTGTATCATCGAGGAGTAATTTACAGTACCGGTACTCGTACAGCACCGTTAGCTTCCCCCAAGCAAATCAACAAGTATTTCATCTCGGCGGAGAGACCCCTGTCCGGGCGCTAGGCGCTTCTGAAGGGTATTTGAATGCGGTGGGGGGCGGAGCTACTCGAGTCCCGGTAGGTCGAAAACGAGAAATGTGGTCAAGCCACGAGTGGGATTCTTTCTTTTTTTTAAATTTTTTCTTTTTCTCCATTCCTTTTTCCCCTTCTCATGCTTTGTTGGCGAATCGAAATTTTGGCTGACCAACTTCGGAAATGGTGAGAGGGCTAACCGCAAAATGCTCCAGTGACATCCACGAGCAGAAAAAAATTTATGACCTCATTTTCCGACCGTTGTATGCAAGTGATAGCAACTAGACTACTGTACGGGTACTCGAGTACAGTACGAGTACCGTACAGATGTGTGTGTGGTATGATGATGGATGAGAACTGTGAATCGTGACTCGAACGTGGAAGCAGAAAAAGGAAATACAAATACGAAAAGCAACAGAAAAAATAAAATACCGGTAAAATAGAATAACAGCTTTTTGTGTGAGGGAAGCGTGCACGGGCAAGTAGGGAGCCAAGGTTAGGTAGGCGCTGTGAGACACGGAGCTGCACCCATGAGGCAACGATTTTGGCTCAGGTTGTTCACTCCTAGAATGACCAAAACGATCGTGAAGGTGTGAAAGAGCATCAGGCTCTATGACAATTGACAAATGCTTCCAATACCCTACGATTCTGGATCTGTAGTTGGTCCAGAAGTCCATGGAAAAAAAAAAGAGAGAGAGAGAGAAAAAGAAAAAAAGAGAAAAAAACCAGAATATCATACAGTTCGTACTTGTACTCGTTACTCGTACACGGACGGGCTGGTATTGAGCCTACCCCTATAATATTATAGTATTCCACTAACCATGAGGGGTTCTTGAAAAATGATGGTGGATTTATGGGAGATTGGACGGGCCAGGGTAACAGCTTCTGGCCCGGCGCGCGGAGGGGGGGGCTCGGAAATGGTAAGCTGTTGCTGGGACAAATTGTGCAACGTATTTTTGTTGGACCGCTGGGCTGCCCAGCCTCAGGTAATATACCTTGTCTGCCCCCATAGGATTACCGAGTACTTAGTACTCGCAACCTTCCGCTTCCTTCTTCCTCTTCCCTTTGCATTCGCCCGTCTCCCACCTTCCCGTGCGCCCTCAAACTCCTATTCTCGCTTGCGAAGAAAGACCCGTTGATCTTTCTTCGCTCCCTCCTCTTTCTAACTCTCCCTCATCTCGTCTACTGACGGAGCGTTGTCTTCTGTGTAATCAGCTTTCGACCCTTCCTCTCACTAGAAGTTCCTCCTTCCTCCAGGCCGTCGCGGAAGCCTCATAAACGCGACACTTCGCCCCAAACCTTCCAGGACCTTTCTTTTGGCTCACAGCGCCTCACAACATGAAGTCGCCCGCATCAAAATTGTTTCCGGGAATGCTGGATACACATCCATCTTTCAAGAAGCAGAGTCTTATGGGTTGGCCTTCGATTCCGGGCTTCCACAGGGTTCGAAGGAAGTTTGCATCTCGGATGAGGAGTGGACAGTCACCAACCTCGAATCTCTCGACATTGCAAACATCCTACGATCCTGCGGACACCATTCGTGCACTCAGGGCTCACCGCTGGAGTTATTGGGATGGTCAATACCTATTTCTCGTCATCTTGGGGATCTTCTGTTTGTCCATAATAGAAACGCCGGGTGCGATCATCAAAACCTTAATTTCCACCCTTTTAATAACCTCTCTTATCTTGCCCATCACACGACAATTCTTCCTGCCATTTCTACCCGTTGCTGGATGGCTGGTCTTGTTTTATGCATGCAGGTACACTTGACCTTTAGTCTTCCTCTTTTTTTTATTGATTTTCCAATTTTTTGATGTCTTCCCATTTTGAACCTGTCACGTGGACGGAAATCGGTTTATCCGTGTTGCCATTACCAGCCACTAACGTGGTTGATTATTGAAGATTTATCCCCTCGGAATGGCGCCCTCCCATCTGGGTTCGTGTGCTTCCCGCTCTTGAGAACATCATCTACGGTGCCAACCTCAGCAACATCTTGTCAAAAAACACCAATGCATTCTTGGATGTTCTTGCATGGCTTCCCTATGGTGTTATTCACTTTGGTGCACCACCCGTCTGCTCCGCCATCATGTTTATCTTCGCGGCTCCCGGAACCGTCCCTGTCTTTGCCCGCAGCTTTGGTTACATGAACATCATTGGTGTTGCCATCCAATTGATGTTCCCATGTTCTCCACCTTGTAGGTCTTCACCCTGTTTGATGGTTTGTTTGATTCCGTGCACTAAGGTTTTTGAATTAGGGTATGAGAACCTTCACGGGTTGGCTCCTGCCAATTACTCGATGCCAGGGTCACCGGCGGGTCTTGCTCGTATTGATGAGTTGTTTGGCTGGAATACTTACACCTCCACTTTTACTGCTGCTCCGTTGGTCTTTGGTGCCATGCCATCCCTACACGCCGGCTGTGCAACCATCGAGGCTTTGTTCATGGGGCATGTTTTCCCTCGTGGCAAATGGCTTTTCTACACCTATATCCTCTGGATTTGGTGGGCCACTCTCTACCTCCAACACCACTATGCTGTGGACCTCATTGCTGGCAGTTTCCGTAAGTTCTCGGCATCCTCGCTCTTCTCCTCAAGTTAATTGTTGTTTAGTGGCCACTTGCACCTTTTATGTTGCCAAAACCAAGTTCCTCGCGAGGCTCCAACCTGACAAGGAATTCCGATGGGATTACGACTTTTTGGAGATCGGCAATGGCAACTCGCCCAACTATGCCTTCGGTATGTCTGATTTTAATGGTGATTGCCATTCTGAGGACGATGAGTGGACAACTGGCTCCTCATCCTCGGTTTCTTCTGGATGCCGAAGCCCTGTTGAGGACACGCAATCTGTGTGGGAATCTGGCAGTGAGACGCTCGCTAGCCACTCAGATACCGAGGGTATTGATGTGGTTATCGATGATCGTCGATAGTCGCAGCTATTCGTTGCACAATATCTCATCCAACATGAGACTTTACGGTCACCATCGCATGGTCTCCCTAAAGCGAGGGTGTTCAGTAACGAGTATGCACTTGTGATCATTGTGATCAGCACTGGATCGTGGACAATTTCGCTTAATGGTCGGGTGGTTGTTTCTTTTGTTTTTTTCCTTTGTACTTTATGATTACGGCGATCATGGGACGGTGTTTGATCTTATTTACTCTTTTACTCTTTCTTCATACTCCCCCTTTTTTGGACAGCATTTAATGATTCAACCGTACATATACGACAACCAGCATCGGCAGATAACATTGTGGTTTACGACCTGGAGCATAAATAATGGGTTTCATCTTCACTTCTGTTTTTCTTTCGAAGAGAGGTGTAATGTGTATTGTGGGGCGATGTTGTCTCTTGTGGTTCCTACAGAAGCAATTGGTCTCTGTTTTATGATACCTTTGGCGACATATCTTTCTCGGGTCTAATCTTTTTGCTTGTTTTTCTCGCCCGTTCTCACTGTTGCCTTTTGATATGAAGTGTGGTTGCGAGGACTTCATGCTGGGAAGTTACTAATGCCTAATGACGTAGGGGGCTGGTTTTTTGTTCTCTCTGCGCTGCTTCCCTGTTTGGGCTCGATTTTTCTCCCCTTTTTTTTTCTCCCCCCCTTTTTTTTTTTTGCTGTTTGTCAATACTCCAGTGGTAGTGGGCTTTGTTCCTGGTGTAATTTTTCCCCTTGCTTCTTACTTTCGCTTCTTTTTAGGTTTTGGCTAAGGGAGTCTCTTAGACTGGCGTTCATCTGTTCGTTCGTTAAGTATCCTGTTACTGGGATAAATTGGGCTTGCTGTGAAAGAGGAGGGGTGTGGGAACTTGGTATAGGGAATAATAAATGGTATTGCGGGAGGGGGAAGTGGGGCAATGTAGGGAGGGAGAGGCTGATTGGCGGTGGTGGTATCATAGGTGAAAGGGTTTGGAGATGGCTTGCTTGGCGAGAAGGAGTTACAGAGTGTACTGTACTCGGGTTAGTCGCTGTGAGTAGTGGTGTAATCGCTCTCAGCTCTCCTGCTGTTGATATGGAATATACCTTTGTGCTGCATGATGGGATTGTTGGCGCGAATATGGCTAACTTGTTTTTACGAAGATCTAATGTTCATCTAATATAATATGGTGATCTGAAGGAAGCTGCTATGCACTCGTGATGTATCGAATATGATTGTCTCGGCGCTAATACCGGTACTCGTACTATGATATCTGATGGACCCTTTTGAGATGGCGCTATGTCCACTTGGCTCCCAATGCGCTCCCTGTCTACGACGCACCCCAAAACCTGGTGTGCAATCATCATTGAACGTAATCACATGAATCAATCGATCGATCAACAGATCTATCGACAAACCCTTGCCCTTACAAAACTAGAACTACTTACTGCACACCACCACCGCTGCAATTACCGATCTCATCCCACCAATTCCATCAAACCAAACAAGATGTCCCTGTCCCTGCACCTAACAACCGCCACCCTCCACCTAACCTCCATCCCACCAGGCACCTTCATAGGCATCGATCTGACAAGCTTCTCTTCGACGCCGGCATTCCAGGGCGTAAAGCTGATCCCATCGGGCCTGCACCTACTCTACTACTCCTCGACTACCGATTCCTCGCTACGCAACGGGTTCTGGTTCTACGCCTATCCGGGGCGAGTGATAAGCAAGGCGTGGGATCCCGCAGCTGAGACAGCGACGCTCGTCGATTCTCCTCCGTCGTCCGTGGGATTGGGGGAAAAGGTGTACGCGGAGAACCTGATGCCGTATATGCAACGGGAAGAGTGGAGGGCGTTGGGTGGGTGTGTGCAAGAACGCACGTTGGAAAGGTGCCTTGGGGGGGGGTGGGTATGCGGGACTGCGGGGGTTTCGGGGATGGATTACGATGTTAGTGAGGATGAGATCATGGGACTTCCGCCCGGTGGGGGAGGGGTGGATGTGGTGTGGACAAATGTGGACTTGAAGGTTACCTGGCCCGCCGGCACAATCGGCCGGGAGCGGACGGAAATGGCGAATGATAGAAGTTGGGCGCTCAATAATCTGCTTCACAAACTAACCTCTAAAGACCAAGAAGATGCGGAAAGGGGGCTCCTGAGCGAACTCCAGTTGTCATTCGTAATGTCAATCACCCTTGGTTCCTACTCCGCCATGGAACAATACCGCCGCTTACTCGGCCTCTGCTTAACCTCCCGAACCTGCGTATTCCACGAACGGAGGAAGCTCTTTGAAGGGCTGCTCGAAACACTACTTGCACAGTTGGACTTCGTCGACGGGGACTTCTGGGCTGGCTTCATCGACGGTGGAGATGGGGACGATAATTGGCTCGCGAAGCTGCTCCGACGATTCGGGAGCGGGATTAAAGATGCGGGCAGCGAACAACAACGACTCGACCAAGACAGGGATTCGATAGTGAGGCTTTTCCGGGATATCGAGTCGTTGACTAGGGCGAAGTTTGACTGGGTATTGGATTATAAGAATGTGGTCAGGAGGGGACTTGTGCAGACCGAGGATGGGGAAATGGTCGAGCTGGAATTAGCGGGCCAGGATGAGGAGGATGAGACGGGGGAATATGCACCTGTCATTGTAGAGGAGGTTCTCCTAGAGACTGGTCGTGAGTAGCGGAGGTGGGGATGATGGTTGGGGGAGAAAGAGGAGAAAGAGAAAAAAAGCAAGCAATTACAGGGGAAGTAGAAGCAAGGTAATCCCAAATTCGTATGCATAAGAAGTGAGGAGGCCCCTCCATGAAAATCGAACGAAGGGTAGTGTGGGGGAATAAGGCTTTTTTTATTTTTATTTTTTACTTGTGCATACATAGTTGTTTTTAATTACCTCGTACAAGCATGATACGAGGACGATATCATACAGCCCCCAACCTCTCGACCAACCAACCTTGTAATCCTATCATTACTTCTTTTTTGTCTTTTCTTCACACTTATTCTCGAAAAGAGAAAGAGTAGATACCTCATTCCCCACCCTTCTTCCCCTTCCCCTCCCTCTCCGCCTCCTCCCGCTCCTTCCTCTTGAGCGTAACCTCATAGTTGTACAATCGGGCGGTATTAACCTCCAACGTGGTAACCTGCTGCCGCAGAAAGTCCAAATCCTCCTCGCAATTGTGCAGACTCTCCTTCGCGGCTTCAAGTCTTCCCTTGAGTAGCGTTGCGGCCTCGTCGACGGAGTAGGACAGCATTACGTTTGCCTAGTGAGTAAGTAAGTGGGCAAATTAGCAAGCTATTATGGCTGTGTTTGAGGGAAGGAAAGGAAAGGGGGGGACATGCGCCCAACCAGAGATACACCTCCTCCGTAGCTGGGATATTAGCTCTCGCGTATAGGGTATCGTTGAGTTCAAAGGTTGCTTCGAAGGGTTTTGATGAGCTCTGTTTACTCATTCGCATTAACATCACCCCAGCCCTCCCATCCATCCATCCATCCATCCGCAAGAACCAACCTTCCTCCCCTTCAAGAAACAAATGGTATCCAACGTCTTTTGTATGTCCGGGATTCTATCCCTCAATCCTGCCGCGCGGCGTTGGGTGTTTGCTTCCATGAATTGATACTTTCTAAGGTTTCTATTAGCCCACCGCTGCCCCAGGGAAAGCGGGGAGGAGGGGGATGAACGCAATCATCTCCTGAAACTTCCTCAGGTTGGGTTCAATGTCCTCCCTCGAGTCGACGTATTTCTCTACTTCGTCTACGAACGGGGCAAGCGGGATGCCGCGGGGGTTAGTCTGTGGGCTGGTACTGGTGGGGTTCCTGGTTAGCTGTGATGAGGGAATGGAGGAGTTGGTGGAGGCTCATACCTGGCCGACATTGTGTAGAAGGCGGGTGATGATGGGCAGTATTGGGTTGGGTTGAAGTTGGTGATGCTCCGGGTATGATACTGTTTGGTATGATAATAATAATATGATAATATGATAATATGATAATATGATAGGATGCTTGCTAGCTTGCTTGGTGGGGTTAATGCCAAGATTACGATGGTGGGGTCAACATCTCCCGATACCTTCTCGGGTAAGCTACTATTTCACGGTGCCCCCGTAACATACTCGTATAGTACGAGTATCAAAGCTAAATTATCATATCTCAACAACACGCTATCTCCATCCATCCTATATTCTTCGATAATATTATTATAGTGTTTATTTTTTATTTTTTTTTCCCAGTACCGATGGCCTGCCCCTGCCTGCACCACAAAACCTAGCCCTACCCATCTACGAATGTGACCCCCTACCCGATAGGGTTGCGCTGTCGGGTGCGGCTCTGATCTGGCATGTTAAGATCTAAATTATGATACAGGGATCCATGACAAATAGATAGGGTCTTAGCCTGATAACGTCATTGTACCGATGATGTTTATTCTCTCTTTCTTCTTCCTTTTTCTTTCTCGAGTTACTCGAGTAGAGTTTACTTGTGATACAACATGGGCGCAAGAGTGTGCATGATAGAATGGATGGGTTGGAGTATGATATCTGGCTGTTTGGGCTGCACGAGAGTTTGGTGTGATGTCAGGGCACGACGACAGGCTGTTAATTGTATCTTATTATAAAAAAAAAAAACATCATCATGCACTTATGACGTGTTGGCTGTGGCTCATAATAACACCGATATCTAATTACAAGAATGATACTCGAGCATAGAACACGATGTTCACCACCATACAGGTATGGAAAGCGAAGGAACATTTCCTAGATATAATAAGTAGTCTAGTGGGCTATTGAGCTCATTTCATCTGTGGTGCAAGTATTGCCGTAGCTACGAGCATTATACTAACTCTGGATTCAGGCCTTGGTGAAAAAAGTGTTTCTTCTTCTTGCCAGAAGTCAACTTTGGATAGGCAAGATTTTGCACAACTACCTAACTAATAATTGACAATGGAAAACTTTAGGTGACGGATATGTGACGAATTAGTCTACAGTAGAACGAACCGAGCTGGAGGCTAAAGCCAGGATGGAGCACGGGATACTTGGAAAAAGCATCCCTTATTTAACTTGATAACGGTAATTAATTCTGGTCTACCGTTTGAAGAAGTATGCTGCTAACTTTACAGCAACCCCCCACAGGTGAGCCTCAAGGTAACTGCGTAGCATCCCCAGTGAGAGAACCGTGGAACTACAGCTGAATTTCCTGGTGCTGAATCCTCCGACGGCTCATATCTCCGCCGGATTACTGTCAGCACCGGGGTATATCAAACTCCCTTCCCGCCGGAATAATTATTGCATGGCAGAAAGGAGTGTGACCAAAGATCACGCAATAAATAACCCCTGAGTGCCTGGCAGTGCCCGAGGACTAGAATGATTTTCTTGGCTCCCCCGAATATGTTTAAGTTGTATCTGTCGTTCTTCACCTGGAGGGAGGGGTAAGGGGGAAATTGCACGTCGGGTATGATAGTATTATATGATACGATGCGACTATTTTGCTGTATGTCTGAGAAGCCCTATTCGTTCTATTTTACGTTTGGTTAAGCCTATGACAGTATCATGCTTCCACGTTAATAATATCTCCCAAGCCGAGCCTGTCGAAAATACCGAGTGACAATTGTGATCCAGCGCCAAGTCCGGGAATCGTTGGATCCTTCCGCCAACAGAAAAAAAACCCCGAAGTCACCACCCAACCCTTAGTCCTTGACCAATCCTTACCCAAAAGCCATATCAAACCTACCTCAACGCCAGGACAAACCGAGAACAAACCAGCCTGGCTCAACTCGATTCGATCCAACCCACACGACAGCCCACCGTCCCATAATCAGCACTCGTAACCATCATAATATCCCGCGGAGCCAACGCAGCCAAACACCTTCCCCCGACAATGTCCATTGCAATTCGCCCCATATTACAAAACACCTGCCGCACACTCGTGCTCTTCCCACGGGCACGAGCAAACTCCACTTCCGCGGCGGCGGCGAAGACACACGGTGGTGGCGCCGCCGGCGGTGGGGAGCATAAGGTTCTCGATCCGGAGTTTGTCAATTCCCCGTTGTCAACGCTACCTGCGGCGCTAGAGTTGCCGCAGAAGGCTCCGGGAGACTCGACGTTCCCATACCTGATCAAGACGGGGAAGGCTTATGTTTGCCCCCCTCTTCCTCCCCTGCGCACCGAAGAATTGAAGGTGAACAGTGGCTAATTGAGCGGTGGGGGAGTAGCTAGGTTTTTACAAAAGCGGGTTGAAAAACGTGTACAAGAACTTCATCGCTACGCGCCCGATCCAGAGTCGGATTGATGAGAAGGGGAGTATCACGGACCTGGTTGGGGCCGGGGGAATCACTCGGAGGGAGTTTCAATTGGTTATGTTTGTTTCACACCCTTCCATATCCTACCCCCCCCTCCCAGCAGAGCAAAAGGTTGATGGTGATTCGATAGGCGCAGCCGCCATGACTCCCGTCGGATCCCCATATTCGGCCTGGTTTTCATAATCTTCGGCGAAATGTCCCCGTTTGTGCTACCATTCATCTCCGGCATCGTACCTTTCAATTGCCGAATCCCACGACAGATACATCGCGACAGAACAAAGCTAGAGGAGCGCCGGGCTGCGACGTTCCGGAACTTGCCCAGAGGTCGCGATCTTCTAGAGTTGGCACGGGAGAAGAGGAGTGTTAGGGACCTCACGTCTAATGAAGTCCTGCACTGCTCTACGGTGCTGGGCCTGCACTCCGGGAAGTGGCCGTCAGTGCTGTACCCGTTCTTGCCACCAATGATGTGGTTGAGGTTTAAGTTGTGGAGGAGACTGATGTACTTGGAGCTGGACGATACACTCCTTGCCAGGGGCGGTGGGCCGGGGATGTTGGACAGTGGGGAGGAATTGAAGATGGCGGCGGTGGATAGAGGGTTGTGAGTTTCTGACCTCCGAATTTTCCCCACTGAATAGGCGCGGGGAGGGGTAATGACCAAGATGCTGATTTTTCGATTTGGTTCGGTATAGCGACACTTTACAAAAAACCGAAACCCGCCTTCGAGAGGAACTGAAACTCTGGCTTAAAGCTAAAGAAACCGCTGGAGGAATGACACCAGCTTTATGGCTAACAAGGTACGCTAATAATTTCAACTCCCTATCTAAGGAAAGGAGAAAAATTATATCCATGACGGCTAGAGAACGCCAAAAAAATACATTCCCATATATCGCGAAACAGGGAGCTAACCTTTCCTTCCCCAAACACAGACCGATCGAATGGCGTAATTCCTTCCCCCCATCCACATCTTCACCCCCCCCCTCATCAACAACCCCACCACCACCGCGCACTCCAACACCCAGAAAACAGCAATAAGCAAACACCTCTCCCAGAGAAGAAAGCCCCAAATGTTAAATAGAACAAAACTTAGAACAACTCTCCACTAAGAAAGGCATATATATAGGCCGAGACATGGAGAAGCGTGGTGTTTATTTATTTATATTACAAAAGTCACTCCACAAAGCACAATCTCACGACAGGAGGCAGCGTATAATGTTCGGATTGGGAGAAACTCACCGATGCTCCATCCCAGTAACGGAAGGAAGGAAGGAAAGCTGATGTACCTGCAGTGTGTGCTGTACTGTACATAGTATGAACCACGATGTGCGCCACGCACCAGCTCACAACCAAGAAAACAAACCAGAAACAGCACGTAACTAAGGTAACTCGAGTAGACACGCTAATGATAAAACCTAAATATACTAGCAAGCAAGCAAGCAAATTCCCACCTGCCAAAAAAGTAAAGCAAAGCAAAGCAAAGCAAGCAAGGGTAGAATATCTATATGCGACGATAAAAATAAAAAAATAAAAAAACCCCCACCGAAGAAGAAAAAAGTATAAAAAGTATTTTTAAACACACATCACATCATTCGAGTATCGAGTCAAGCCAGATACCATAATGTAATGTAAAAACGATACCCCCGACAACGACAAGAAAGAAAAAAAGACTCCAGACTGTTAAAAATCCCCATGGGTTAAAGTTAAGTTGTGGAAAAACTCCCATGTTTCTTTTTCTCGAATCAGGGGTAACAAGGAAGGGTGTGAATAGGGTAAGAATGGAGGACTAGATATGCGGAGGGGAAATCCAAGGAAATAGGACGAGTGCTCGAGTAAAGAAAAAGAAAAAAAGGAGAAAAAAGAAAAAAGGAGAATCCTAACACCGGGTTTTTTTGTAGTTTCGTGCCTTCTTTGATTATTTACAATTGAGCTAAGGTAGGTAAGGTAGGTAGATAGGTAGAAAGAAATCGAGTAAAGTGTGCAAGTAACTAAGTAAACCATTCAATGCCCATCGGAATGAAGAAAAAAGGAGAAAGAAAACAAGTATCATAACAAGAGGGAGAGAAGGGAAAGAAAGGTCAACTCAAGCTAAGGCTAAGAACTAATTTTATTAATTCAATAAGAAAAGGAGGAGAGTAGCGAAGCAAAAATATAAGAAAATTTGAAATTCTGATAGAAAAAAGAAAGGAAAAAAAAGCTATGGTCAGGATTTCGGCTTTCTTCCCTTTTTTTTTAATATATCTCTCAAGGTTTTTAACAGTTTAAAACCCATGGAGAAATACAAACCATAATGTGCACACGAGAGAGACAAAGCGTGAGTATGTGGAGAAGAGTTGGAAGAAAAAGAAATCAAAACTCCAAGAAAGCCCACAAATAAAAATATATATATGAGAAAAAGAAAGGCTTGTAGTAGCTAGCCTTGCTTCCACTTCGCCAACGTCTCCATGATGTTTTGCATTTGGCCGGGTTGCGGCTGCTGCTGAGGTGTTGGATGGGTAGGAGTGGGGTGGGAAGCTTGGGCAGGAGTATGAGCCTGGCTGGCAAATAGAGCAGCTAGTCCAGCTGGTGCATTTGTTCCATACCCAGTGTTGACACTGAGTTGGGTAGGAGCACCGTATGGTTGGGGGGCGGTAACTTGCCCTAGGTTAGTGGTTGCCTGTGCCAGTAATGCTGCGAGATCTGGGGCTAGAGATGGAGGCTGTTGCGGTGGTTGCTGCTGGCCCATATGATTCTGCTGCAAACCTTGCTGCTGCTGAGCCTGGGCTTGAAGACCGGTCAATAATCGATTGAGAGTCCCAGGATCCATTGAACCCAATAGAGTCCCAAGCTGTGCGAAAGGCTGTTGAGACATGTATGCGTATGGCATAGTAGAAACTTGAGGCTGAGCGGCTTTCTGTTTTGCTCTTATCACCAATTCGGCGCCGATCGCAGGGTCAAGGTTATCGTAACCTATTTATTGTCCATTAGCACTAGCCGTTATCACTTAAAGGGGTCCCGCGGCTTCAAGGGGAACAAACGGTCATAACCAGCCTCTGCAGAACCGTGTCTATTGAAAACTTGTAGAGAAATGGAGCTCTCTCTCTGTTTCTGACTGTCCAAGAAGACAATTGCTTGAACCCCCTCGAGGATCTGTTGCTTTATGACAGAATCGAGAGGCATTCTAGGATGTAGGTACAACAGGTCGTATGTAAGACTGCGCGCTCTAAACGCTTTTTCAACCCACCAGATAAAATTCCTGCGGAGGTACTAGTCAGCCTGACAAACCAACATACAACGCTCGGGATAGTAGCAACAAACCTGTCAAGCTCATCGGTGACAATGGCCTGGACATCGGGAACGTCCTTTGGCTCCCTTCTAGGAGGCAAGGATTCACCGGGGGGAGTCCGGCTGCGAGCACGATATCTGGGTGGTGGAGGGGAGCGTGAGCGCGAGCGGAGGCTGGGCCGCCAATCATCACGAACTCTATGTCTTGGCGGTGAGGATCTGCGATTATACTCATAATCACGGTCTCGGGTATCCCGTCTGAAACTACGGTCACTATAATCACCACGGCCGCCACGAAAATTGCCTCTCCCTCTGGGAGAAACTGGCCGACCATAATCGGGAGAACGAGAGCGACGGCTCCCGCGTTGAGAATCAGCACTTGGAGCTGGGCGTGTGTTTCTCTGTGGCTTCGAAACCTCGAGGTCTACAACCCAAGTCACGTGGCCAAATTAGTAAATGGAAATTTTCTGGAGAAGACTTCTGTCCTCTTGGGAGAAAAAACAGGCTGGATATCATACGCATTTTACGTCCTCTCACCGTTGAACCTTGTTCGTGACGGAGGGCCGCTGCACAAGACGATATATCGAGGAATTGAACAAACCCGTATGCTTGCTTGATGGACACTTGTGCCAACCGGCCATGTCGGTGGAATATACGGAACAGATCACGTTTGGTGACTTTCTCTGTGGGCAAATTACCTGTACATTCAAAGTAAGCATTATTGGGCAAATTTTTCATGAAACAATCGCAAAACTGGGCGGTGCATGGGATATCTGCATCGGAGGGTGCGCACCAATGAACAATCGAGAGCCCGCAGGAAATCTATCCCATTGTCCTTGGGTCACATAATCACGCTCATCGGAGAGAAACCTCTCATACTCATCTTCTTCATCGGCTGTAAAAGGACGGGACTCCTCCTCGTTATCATCAGTTTCGGTTGGGGATCCGGGGATTGCAGCCTGGCGATGCTGGTTAAAGTTTGGAGGCAATGGTAGGGATGCGGGATAGCCGGCCGGGTGACTTGTATGCACTGCACCTGTATTACTGGAACCAGCAAACGTCGCTGGTGGAGCCGGAAGGGGATGCGTCGGTTGGGCATGGACCTGCGACTGGGCTACCTGAGCAACCGCGGGCGGTTGTGGAAGAGAGGCCGACCTCGGCTGAGAGGGTGGGGTCTGGGCAGTGGGAGCTGCTGGCGGTGTCTGAGTGCCTTGCAAGGAAACTGGGTGTTGAGAAACGGTGGGTGACAAACTTGTCAACAGAGCTTGCAAGTCGACATCCGTCGGGATACTGCGGTTGTTTTGGACAATCTCGGTGGGCGCAGGAGCCTTATTCACGGATGGCGGCGAAGAGGAAGATGATGGACTACTATCATTTGTGGCTTCCGAAACGGAAGCCGATGAGGTTGCCTGCTGTAATTTTGGCTGCTCCATAAAAGTAGTAGCGGCGGTCTCCGGGTCGTAGTCAAGTTCAACACTAGTGTTGGAGGTTTCGGGCCCGGAGGCATGGACCTCTGGTGTGTCGAGAGCATAGTCCATTTGATTGTTGAGGACGGGGATAGGAACGGTCTCAGCTACGTGAACTGGATGGGGTGAGATTGGAGAAAGCATTGCCCTCTTTTCAATACGATCAACGGGGGAATCAGTGTTTGTCTGGGTATTGGTAGCAGAGCCGTCGGCTTGGTTTTCAGAATTTTGTGTATCTTGCTTATTCATTTTTCATCGAGGGAAACGGGGGGGGAGGATGGTAAAATAGAAAATTAAAACAGGGCAATACGGTGAGAGGCCGGAGAGAAGAGAAACTCCGGACGAGTGGAAAAAAAAAAGGAGTAATGATGGCGTCCCGGGTAGAAGCGGTGGTAACGGTGACGGATGTGGAGGAGGTCACGGTGGTGCGTTGAGTTGAGGCGATGGTGGAGGTGGTGGTTAGTGGTGGTAATAAAAAATACCAGCAACGGCGATGAAAGTTATGTATGATTGGGGGGGTTGGGGTTGGGTTTGGGACTGGGGTTTGGCGTTAAGGGTGGGAGGGGGAGGGGGTTGTTGAGTGTTAAACACGGGAGATTTGCGTGAAGTGCAGGCAAAAGAAAAAAGAGAAGTTTGTAAATCTGCTTGCTCGCTGTATTGTGCTAGAACTGGGGGGAGGAAGAGAAGGTTGAGTGTAGAAGAGTGTGAGGAAAGGGAACAAGGGTTTGAGCGAGAAGAGTGAGGAAGAGAGAGGGGAGGGAGGGGATGGAGAGAGGGATGGAGAGGTAGAGGGAGAGAAAGTGAAAAATTGAAGAGAGGAAACGAGATGGATGAGAAGATGGCCGCTGCTTCCCTGGGACGGGATTGAATGGGGTTGGGCCTAAGTTTTGACTTTTCGACTGATCTGATGGATTGGAGAGAAGAAGGGTGTGGGTGTGGGTGGCAGGGCTCGCAACGAGCAACGAACAACGAAAGCCGAGAGGAGACCTTCTTCCTCTTGGCGCAATGCTGGGGTCAAACCGACCGCTGACTCATCAAGGATTCAAAACCCAGTTAACGAGCCACAGAATAGTCCTTAAACAAGAAGATCGCTTGCGGTGGGTCAAAACCGTTAGTCTACCGCAGAGCCACACCCTGTAGAAGCCCGAATTTCGATAACCTACCGTACCCTTGCAGATTATCCGTCAAATCCTGTGCAATATCATACAAGTATCATGATATTATCATACCACAATATCAATACTATTATCATTATAATTATCATACTTGGTAGTTTGTAGGGTATCTATTGCAGGAGTATCGTACCGTATGGATTCAGGGTGCCCTGGCGCCAAGGTGTCCAAATTTACACCCTGAAAGCGCCAATCTTGGCGTCACGGCATCTTAACACAGTATGATACCTAGTCTATCATACCGGTAGATGCTCCATGAGTTGTCAAGTACGGTACGGTACAGTACCTGTACGGTATACTCGAGTATGATAACGGTATCATGGCAAGCTCAATTCCAGTAAGCTTATAAGGCGTGTCGGGGTATAGTGCAAAGGGGCTTAAGGTGGGTCCTGAAAACAGCCGGAGTTCAATGTTGAACTAGTTAATCAAAACAACAAATTAAGAAGAGAAAAAAGCGCTGTGATGAAGCTACTTCTGGGGAGAACAAACCAGCGCTTTTTTCTTTTTAATTAAGATTTTTTATAAAGGAGTAGTTCAGAAACAAAAAGTGAAAATTTTGGTGGAAGTGAAACAAGTGATAGAATATACTGAGTAGCATGCTGAGAAATACTGTGGATGATAAATGACAAAGGTAGGGTAATGATTGATAAGAAATAAATTATGATTGTAATACGATAACATGCCTATTACTCGTCTGGTCTTGGCAATTTCCAGACGAATAATTCCGGTGAGCCTCTCACTCTCTGTTTGTAGCCACATGCTGAATGAAAAGTCCCATGGTATTTTTCTTTCTTTCCATTTTCTCCCGTCTTTTCTTTCCTTTGGGGCCCTTCTTACTTGAGTATGATCCTCGAGTAACTCTATCAAAAATACCGGTACGGTATTCGGAATAAATTTCCCCCACCACATTGTGCAGTATGATACGTAACATAATTTAGACCCAAGAAGGAAATCAACACATGTAAATTTCTCCAATTTTTCCGGCTTACCTAATCCAATGCTCAACTCTGCCTGTTCCGTTATGAACGGTGCCGAGTGGGTCTACGGTATGGTGCAGGGCACTTGAAATCAACCAAAAACCAACACAAGAATAATCTTCGAAGAATTTCAAGGAGATACGGCTTCATAGAATCAAAAGGAACATCTTTTCTTGGTTCTATGCCTTCCAATTTTCAATCAGAGCAATATTAATGGAGATGGTAAAATTTAGAATTACCCACGCATGGTAATTTTTGAAGTTACTTTGCCAAGCCCTACTTATTTTGTGTGTATAAATTATGTAAGCAAATAAATTACTCATAAGGGTCGATTTCAATCCCATTGACAGTGAGTACATTCCTGGTCGTGCCAATTTTTCTCGTTTCCTTGAGTACCGGTACTGTACAAGTACTCATACTTGACCGTTCATAAAGTATTAGGATGTCTTGGCGCCAAGGCATGCCAAAGGCACCTAAACTTGGAATCTTGGCGCCAAGGTATCCGAATACTTTATGAATTGTCAGGTAATTTATATCATTGAGAACATCAGTCTCCTCCAGCGACACGTATACGGTAAGTCACGACCAAGGATGCGCCAAGTTTGCCGAGCGCCTCCTCCGTCAGTGGGATGCTGTGAATTTTAAATTTACTGAACGGAAGCACAACATCTCCGTGTCCGGGGTTGGAGTCTTGGAGAACAACCTTTTGTTCAGGGGTGCTCTAAATACCGGTACCGGCACTGCATCTCTTCTGCTGGCAGTCAGAAAAGAGTCCAAGGCCTTCTCGCTGCCTGTACTTTACACTGCTCTAACCCTCTAAATTACACCTCTCAGACCTCTATTTAGCCCCCTCTATTCCCCTCCCTCGTCACCACCATCACCGTTACCACCACTTCCTCATTGCTCTGCCGTTTTCTGTCATTCCTTGATTCTGCTTTTGCTTGCGCTCTAGTCATGCCAAAAGATAAGGATGGGACCGTTTTGGTCTCGGTAAGTGCGCCTTGCTTGAATCGAAATTCCGCCTACGTCCCGCGAGGATAAAATAAAATAAAATCATGTAGAGATTTGTTGATTAGGGAATATGCCTTACTGACTTTATCGTAGATGTCCGGGAAGTGGGTTTCCCACACTCACACAGTAACTGCCTATTGTCAGTCATCGTGTGCCCTTTCCATCAGGATCGATTGCTAATCACTTTTTGTTTTGTTTACGCAGGCGGATTCCTAGGCGCGTTGATCGTGGGAATGTGAGGCTACCCCGTCCAATCTAGGTGCCAACATCCGGAAAATTCTCGGCTGCTAAAACGTCTTGCCTAGGTCACTCCACTTTCACAAAATTGTTCAGAATGAGCATTATGTGAGTTTTCGCTTTAGCTATACCTGTCATTGCTGCCGTACTCGTACCTCAACTTCTCGGCTCGGACCTCCCTTGTGGCTTTGCTATGATAGTTGCCGAACAATAAGGGTTGGCGTGGCTGACCCTTACCTTCCAACGAAAAGGGTTATCCCGACGAATGGTTTCCATCAGTGTCAGCTACAATTGGCGACAGATATCCTGAACGATCGCTGTTTCAGCTCTTCATCTGCTTAACATCTGGTCCTCGTTTCGCCCTCGTTTTCCTGTGGTACCTTCTTACGGCACGCCCCGGCGCTTTCGCTCCAAAGTTTGTGGCCAGCATTGGTCTTATCCGTTCGTTACTTTGTGGAGGCTGGGTATACATTACCTCCACCGATGACCATGACTATCACGATATCTTTATGATTTCTTACCTCGTCTTCACCCTCCCTTGGACGCTCGGTTGTCTCGCCCTGTCCCCCATGAACCTTACAGCAATCAAGTATAGAAAGTTATTTGCTGGTCTTTTCTTTGGTACCCTTGTACCACTGATTTATTTCTTTATCCAGCACAAGGTCCACAAGGTCGCTGGAGGTAAGCAAGTGGCGCGATTGCAACACGGTTGGCAAGTCCCAATTAACAGAGACTAACCGTTACAATAGCTTACACTATTTACGCTTTCTTTGAATGGTCTCTCATCTTATTCGATGTTGGTTTTGATGCTGTTACTGCCCTAGATTTTGAAGGATTCGAATTTAGAGTTGTAGATGTCAAGAGTGTCAGCAAAGGGTATGTTCAGTGGCTCCCGCTGTAGATAAATTATACATCTGCTGCACTTCAATATAAAGGATACCCCATATCAAATTCTGAGCGAGAAATTTATTCTAAACGAAATTTTTTGACAGAAAAAATATAGCGCTTTCCGACGCAGTTCTCGAAAGATCAAAGTAGGTTCCAGCCCTCCCGAGTCTCGGAGGATCTATGGGAAGTCATCTTCTGACATGGGATCAAGGATGGATAAAAAGGATATCCCACAACAGTTTTTAACTGACACTTACTCATGGAACGATGTGCTCGATGCTCTTGCCGATGTTTACAGCGGGGTAAGCATTGGGATACTGCTTTTTTTTTCTTCCTCCATTCACACTTAGTTGCTGATGTGTAGTGATAGTTCATGTTTTGGTCCATCCTGACATCACTCGGAGTGACTATTTGGTGTAAGTCACGAGCAAATCGAAACAGCTTTGAGACAGAAAAGGCTTACAGAGGCCAGATTTTCCGCTCTGGCATATGGGTATCTCGGGTTACGAAGTGCTTGTCATGACCACAGTATCGCCGTTTTTACTAGGCATCGGTCCAGTCCGTAGAATAGTTGTTAACCATCCCCGCTACGTTTATCTGCTGTCCCTCCTTGGCCTCCTGGCATTCGTATCCAAAGTGCCGGAAACACGTCTTTTCTTCGTCGCAGCCGGCGTCTGGTTTACGACCCTCGCATGGACTGGCAGCTTCTTTGCCGAAAGGGCGCAGCCTGGGAGATTGGAAGCGAAGGTTTCTGCATTTTCACTAGGGTTGATCGCATCCAGTATTGCAAAATTTGCTTGCCGCAGCAACAACCCCATATGGCCTATTATGAATACCGAGAATGGTGGATGGAATAAGACTGGGCTTGTTCTTGCCGTGTTGGCGGTTCTCCGTTCAACTAGAAAAGGACCGGTTGGTGAACTTCCGTTGTCTCCTCCTAACAAGGGCGGGTCCTCAATTATACCAGCTATCGGATTGGGAGGACTTCTCTTTGGCCTCCATTCACTATTGTCTGACTCCAGCACCATGATCACTTGGGTTTGGGATGGATACCCAGTCAAGGGACCCCTTGCTGTCCCTCATGGTGCATACGCTTTGGTCGCAATGGGAGCGGGTTTCTTAATCGGTCTCCTGCGCGAGGATTTGGCAAGGACATGGACATTATATGGTGTCGGTTGCACTGCAGCTGCGATTTTCCATCGCAGTCCTGGATGGACTGGATATTATGGCGCATTGGTGCTGGCTTTGTATCTGATGGCTCTGGTCCCTTCATTCATTCAGTCAGCAACAAAACACAGCCCCGGCAAAACCTTTGGCTTATCATTCTTGGTATATAATTTATTGGTTTTGGCGCATGTCTGGGTTGTCGCTTATGCTTTTGTCCCTGGCGGTCCTCTGCTCCGTGAAAGGACGGACCTTATCATGACTGCCACGATGTTGGCAATTGGTGTTGGCGTTTTCGCGACTACGAGCTACGGGCCAAAGAGTGCCAGGGAGCTGAGGGCGGAAGACTTCCCAAGCCGAAGACGCTTCAGATCATACGCCGTCTATTCTCTCGTTGGTCTGGAGCTTTTCGCAGCCTCGATCGCATACATGCGTTTCCCATCCTTCGACTACCAGCCATACCACAAAGAAGAAAAGGTTCTGACCGCCGGCATATGGACTGTCCACTTTGCGCTCGACAATGATATGTGGAGTAGCGAGAGGCGTATAAGAGACGTTATCAAGGATTTGGAGGTCGACGTCATTGGTCTCCTTGAATCGGACCTGCAAAGGATTATCATGGGCAACCGCGACATGACACAATTCCTTGCGGAAGATCTTGGAATGTATGCAGACTTTGGCCCTGGGCCAAACAAGCACACATGGGGAGCTGCGCTTCTCTCCAAATTCCCCATTGTCAACTCCACACATCACCTCCTTCCCTCACCGGTGGGCGAGCTCGCGCCCGCTATCCTCGCAACACTTGACATGTACGGAGAGATGGTAGACGTCCTAGTCTTCCACAGCGGACAGGAGGAGGATGTGTTGGACAGGAAATTGCAGAGTGAGGGTATCGCAAAGCTTATGGGCGACAGTCCAAGGCCGTTGATCCTACTAAGCTATCTCGTCACAAAGCCCAAACAGGGCAATTACAACACATACGTCAGCGAGACAAGCAGAATGAGGGACATCGACAGCAGTGATTGGGATAGATGGTGCGAATACATCCTATATAGGGGATTGAAGAGAATCGGATACGCTAGAGTCTCGAGGAGTACGATCACAGACACTGAAATCCAGGTAAAGGCCCGCTTGATCATATTCTGGCATTAGTGTGGCTAACCATTTCTACTATAGCTGGGCAAATTCGTCGTTGGGGAACCAGAAGGTACCGATGAAATAATACCCGAGAGCGAGGTGCCGGGGGGATACAGATTTCCAGATATGTTCAAAGGCCAAGGTGTCCGAGGTCACAAATACCATGTATTCAATGAGCCACGGTAGGAGCAATTGCCCTCACCTCAAACTATGACCTAGCAGGCTAACGGATTTAATATAGTTACTACCGATAACCGTAATAGATATCACTATCCTTGGGCAGATACTTTCCTGCTCAAGTTCTAACTTATTCCTAATTCTGACCTCCATACCCGTTTCTGGGGGTTTTCTCCTTCACATCACATTTTTTGTCCATTTCATTTCTGTATTATGATACCCTGGAAGTTGTAGGATGGCATTGGCTCGCGGCTTGGGATATAATTCTAAATACCTGGTTTTAGGGGAGTTGGGACGGATAAAAGGGTTGGCTGGTTGGTGGCTAGGTTTGGGCGGTCTGGATTGGGGGCGACCGTATTCATGGGTTGTATTGTACAAACAGTTGGTATGGGTGTTTGCTATGGCTGAATGGCTCATTGTTGTCTTGTGTTAATTCTATAATAGCTTGGTTAGCAATGCTTTTTTGCTCGAAGATAGGAGATATCCAATAGGTCTATCGTTTGTTAATTATAGTCTATCACATTTCTCAGGTGCTCTTCGGTTATCAATCTTTTCCTGCATGCGACTTTATCATATGATTATTGTCTGATACGAGTTGACATCCCAAACTAATAAGCCATTTATCATACTTCACTTTCAACAGCCCCCAAATCCCACAACAGACAAAATCATTATCTCATTACCTGCAGAAGTCCCATAGATACGCCATTCGTCATTCGTCCAAACAAAAGCAATCCCCCCACTAATAATACAAACTCGAAGAAAACACCCCGCCCCCCACTCTCTCCCCCGAGCCTTCAACTCCCCGCAGCCCTCTTGGATTCGACGTAATCCAGCGCATCCTGAGCTCTAGTGAGTTTATGTGCGATAGCCGGCAATTTCTATCCAGCAGATAAAAAGGAAAAAAGGAAAAAAGAGTCAGCACTTCCCTCTCTCTCCAAAAGAGCAAAAGGGCAGAAAAACCTACCGACTGCAACCCCATCAATACCCCCACCCCCTCCTCATATCCCCTCGCAACCTCCTCCCCCCTCTCCAATTCCCTAACCCCCAAATCCCCCATCAGCCCTCCCCCCTCCTCTCCAGCCCCTCTCTTCCTCCCCAACTCCCTCAAAATCCTCTCATCGCCCTCCCCCTCCCTCTTCAACGCCTCTTCGAAAGCCCTCTTCGCACGCCCAGGAGCCTCCCGACGCAACTGTGCCACGCGCAACGTCTCGCGCTCCAGCTCCGCGTACAGCGCCGACACGCGATCGTGCAGTTTCCTATCGTACGCTTCAAACTCCCCCTTCTCCTCTGCCGCGGAGGAGAAGGACGAGGAAGAGGGGTGCAGGAATGGGCGCACATCGGCGGGCGCGTCAAGGCCATTTATGCTGATGGAGGGCAGGGAGAGGGTTATGGTTTTTTGTACGTACTGGTTATTTCACAGAGTTAGTTGGATGCCACCGCCTGCGGCGGCGGAGGGGGGGGGTATATACCTCCATGACCATGTCCTCCACGCGCTTCCTCAATTCGTCGTTGTCGGAGGAACCAGTGGTGGTGGGTAAATGATGGTTTATTTTGGCTCTTGCAGCGCTGGATAGGTTTTCTAGGATGAAGCGGATGTCCTCCCGCGATTGGACTTCGATTTTTCGCATGCGGTTTGATTCCATTATTTTCTTTCTGCTTTGGAGGAATAAAAAATTGGGGGGGGTGGTTTTTTTCTTTTTTTTTCACTCTCGGAATTTGTGGTGGGTGGGCGGGCGGGCGGGTTGTGGAGGGGGGAAGACGCGTCGAGAGTTGGCGATGGTGGGGTCATGTGGTTTGGTGATGGTAACTGGATGTCATGTGGTATCACTCGGTTTTGAATATTTTAAATATTTTTGCAAGATTTTTTATTTTTTTTTATTTGACATGATAGGCTTGTGTTGGGCTATATTCCGGCAGACTAGAGTCGGCTAGTAGAAGGGTTGCTTATTACCGGTAGGTACACTGAACTAGGTCCTAAATTACCAGTAGCGATTATTATTCACTCCCGGATGTTAGACTACATCACTACAGGACTCAGTGATGTCAACTTCGGGGGATAACCAGCAAAGACATGACAGAAGAATATATTGTCGTCTAGTTTATGAACCCCTCTATCAGAGTGCCCTCAATACAAAACACCAAAAAGGAGTAGAGATGAAGAAACATTTACTAACAAAGATCAAGATAGCCCCAGAGCATGCTGTACGGTACCGGAACACATCCACGAGACCCATAATCCGGGAAGCTTCAAAACAGCTACCGATATCACAACGCTATAATATTATGCATGTGCCTTCCACACCTTCCATACCACGGCAACAAAAACTCTGCCAGGAAACCGCGTCCCCGGGGGTCATCCATCACTCCGACCCCTTGACGTTGTCATTATTCGGCGATGTCTTTCTAGCCTCCTCAATCATGTTATGAATGCCTTTCTGCTTTAAAGCTGCCTTTAACCCCCCCCAATCCAACATCAGCCCATCCATCCACCGAGCAATAGTAGAGACAAAAAAAAAAAACTCACATTCAAACAGCTCTTATACTCCTTAAACAACTCCTCACACTCATCCGTGTTGCCCTCTCCTCGCAAGTACTCTGTCAACCCCGTCAGCCCCCTCTCCCCTATTTAAGAGGTAAACTAGGAGTCAGTCATACTCTCCGAATACCACTTTATAAAGCAGGTATCGTATCGCTCCTTCTTCTCGGAACATTCCTGTAGTGTGGAGAGGTTGTTAGAAGCTTCTAGGAGATGTGCGAGGCAAATAAATTTGTGGTCTATTTTGGTTTCTATAGGGGGGGGGGATTTACGGGTGCTAGGGATGAGGACATTTGTAATTCTTTGTGGTAGGGGGGAAAGAGGGTAGGTGGTAGGTGGTGGTGATTTGCGAAATTTGAGAAGGGATGTCGGTACAAGTAGTTGGCGTCGATGTGCGCTAGGTGAACGGAAGAACTTTTTTCCGGATATGGCGGGATGGATCTACCGGTACTCGAGTATTCGAGTACTCGTACAACAGTATAATACCAGTAAGGTTTTTTTGAACTCCAGTATGATGAGTTGGTGTGGATGGGTTGTACTCGAGTACAGTACAGTCCCTTAAGTTAGGTTCCAGTATTGGACGTTGGGGTAGGGAGTTATTATGCTGTGCTCTACAGTACTCAACCTGAATCCATGCAAGTATGATATTGAAGAAAGAGGGGGAGGGGTGGATTATAGCGTTCAATGAGTGGCTACGATTTCTGTTATATGTCTGCAGGTATAGGTATCCATTGGGAGCGGGCCATTGGGATTTGAAAATACCGGTACGAGTATTGTACGTGTGCTTTACCTAATACACGTTGTAATAGAATCTACGAGCATGATATGGTATGATATGATACCTGGATGCTTCTTCCGACCTATGTATGATACAAGGCCACCACCCCCAGGGTCCAAAGGAAGCTTCGCACTGCAGGCCATGTCTTTGGAAAATAATCACTCGGAAATAAAATTGCCAAGACAATTCAACCTGGCTGACGTAAGTCATGCAGCTTCTTTCGAAATCTCGCCTCAAGCAGCCTCTTCACTACTTATCCACCGTAACACCCCACTGCCACGAGCCAAAACCCACTCTACTGCCGCCGCCGAATTTTTCAGAAGGAAGTTTAGAAAACGACAATAATACAAACAAACCGGAGACCAAAAGCAAGGGGCCTTCCGACAATCATGTCGGACTTTCTAGCAGCTCAAGAAGCTGGTGAACCTTTGGGATTTTCAGAAATGCAAGATCGGCTTCTAGCAGCTGTCGTGGCGACCGTCAAAACCTCCTCTGGTCTAGCTGCTGAAGATGTGGACTTCCATAGAGCGTCTAATTCCGAGTTTGGGCCCTCCCTGGATGACTGCAATGAGCGAATACTTGCAATCACGAATAGACTGCTGGCTAGCGCGACGTGTGGGTCTGGTATCTCGGTGCCGGGGTTGAAGGAAGTGGATGACGTCGAAAACCACTGGACGAAGATTGTGGAGGTCATTGATGATCTGTTGGAGAAAGCGGTATTTGTGCAGTGATTTCTATGCGTGTGCCAAGGTTTCTAATGGCGGTTTTTGTGTTTAGGACACCTGCCTGGACGAATATACTGGCGCTATTAAAGAGAGAAATCCGGTGCCATTTCCGGGCGCTCGAGCGGCTGGGATGGTATGTTATATCAGAGTCAGACAGTGTTTGGGCAATGGGATTGTATGCTAACTCTGGTCATTGGTTTGACTAAGGTACCCAAACCGAGCCGCCCTTCGAGGAAGTCAATACAAAGAAGTGCAAACATTCCAAAACCACAATTACTATTCAATGAGAAAATCGACAATTTCGATTCTGCACCGTGGAAACCACGTTTAACTTCTAAGCCTCATGCTGTGACGCCGCTGGGTGAAAGCATTTATTTGTTCAAAAATGAACTGGGAATCAATGAGTATTTATCCAAGAGAGAACGTAAACGAGAAAAACGGCGTCTAATTAAGAGGCCTAGGTATGCGCATCCGTATCAGGCGGAAATTGAGTCTATGGAGTATCCCAAAGAAGTCTACAGTTGGATGGAGCCAATCCCCTCCAGGGATTGGGATGAGATTCCTCCAACCTGGGTAGACACCCCGAGGGCACTTCAGGAGATGATAAAAGACATGCGGAGATGCACCGAGATCGCTGTAGACTTGGAACATCACGATACTCGTACTTATATTGGTCTGACATGTTTGATGCAGTTGAGTACCCGAGATGATGATTACATTGTGGATACATTAAAGCTCCGTGGACAACTTGAGCCGCTGAATGAAATCTTCACTAATCCCAGGGTTATCAAGGTTTGCTTTTCATTTTTAAAAGACTGATGTCTGTTATAGGTGCGTTTGTTGACTGGCAATTCAGGTTCTACACGGCGCTTTTATGGATATAATTTGGTTACAGCGTGATCTTGGGCTTTACATAGTCGGTTTATTTGATACCTTCTATGCCGCGCAGGCGTTGGAATTTGCTCGCTTTGGTCTTGCTCACATTCTGAAGAAGTATGTCAATTTTGATGCTGATAAGCAGTACCAGATGGCGGATTGGAGGTTGAGGTATGATATATGACTCTCTCACCCTCCCATGCTGCTCACTTACGTGTGTGTGGGCAATAGACCACTTCCCAAAGAGATGCTGGATTACGCTCGCTCAGATACCCATTACCTACTTTATTGCTTCGACTGCATGCGAAATTCTCTTGTAGAGAAATCACGGGGTGATGTTGAGCATGTCTTGCAAAAATCGAAGGAGACCGCACTCCGACGCTATATCCGAGACACATACGATGCGGCAACCGGGGAAGGGACTTTTGGATGGGCATCACAAATTATCAAGTTCAAGTTCAATCGCACACAAGAGTTTGTATTTAAGGCGGTTCATGCTTGGCGCGATCAGGCAGCTAGAGAAGAGGATGAAAGCCCAACATTTGTTTGCTCACGGAGCACTCTGGGAGCTCTTTCTACTGCGATGCCGACTGATTATGATGGAGTCGCCAAGTGCATTCATGACACCAATCACCTTGCCAAGAGTAGAATTGGTGAAATCGTGGAAGCGATTAAAGGGGCACTAGAACAGGCAGGTCAGGCTGATGAAGCGGCAACAGAAGCAGTGGCAGCGACAGCAACGGCGACGCCGGGCGCTAGCAAAGCGACTGTGAACATTTTCGGAGATACTGTCGTTGCCGAAGCCAGGTCCGCAACTTCCTCCATGTTCTGGGGCAATGTGTGCGGAAGTAGCAAGTGGGACGAGGCCGCAACACTGAAGTCGGCGCTGGGAGAGGAAATTAGACTCGCTATTCCTCTCCCGGAGCTGACAGCTGCAGTCTTTGTCTCGGAGACACCCTTTGCATCGTCCGCCGGCGCCCGGGAAGTGCCAATTGATCCCGGAGCACGTGCGGAGCACCAATACGTGAAGGGTCGGGGTGGTACGAAGAGGGAGAATGAGATTATCGTTGTCAAATCTCTTGGTGGTGGCGCTAGTGGGAGAAAGAGAAAGGCTTCAGAAGTGGAGCAGTATGACGATAACAACGACGCAATATCGGACGATCACAACGCCCACTCACCAAATTATTCTTCACATGGGGGGAATAGCCGGGGAGGGTCAGAGGGGGAGGAAGAAGGGGACGAGAGCGAGGGACCGCTAGGGGTCAATGCTCCAACCCTGCTAGGCGGGCCAATGGGCGCAAACAACGCGGTGGGTGAGCGCAAGTCCAGGAAGCAGTCCAAAAACTCGCCCGGGCAGGGGCAGCAGGAATCTAACGCACCGGTGAGAGGGACCTCCCTTGTCGACGTTCGCGAAAGCTCCTTCGAACCATTGGATTACTCGAAAGCTCCTTCCGTTCTGCATGGCGAGAAGCGCAGCCAGGGCAAGGCAGGTGCAGATGGTAGCAAAAAGCTTTCTGGAACCAAGAGATTCGATCCATATTCCAAATTCGGAGAGGGTCCAAAGGGTGTGCGCAGGAGCCAGCAGGAGAAGGCAGGGAAATCGCTGACTTTCAAGAGCTAGATCGTGGACGGGTATTTTTTTTTCCTCCTTCCTTTTTTGTTGTAATATCAGGCTGTACTTTAGTGTGGGGGTAGGTGCAAGTACTACTACAAGTAGTACTCGAGTACAATAGCCCTTAGAGTGGGGGGGGATGGGGGTTGTTGAAGGGAATTAAGGAAGACAGAAGCGGTTAGATTCTAGGGTTAACGGACTGGCTTTTTTCTTTCACTCATAGCAGTTATTTCTTTCGCCGTCGCCGAATGGCCGAATGTACTATCATAGCATAACGCATCATCATGAACGGGGAGCAAAAAAAACCAGGGATAAATAACCTTCAAGTTACCACCAATACGAAGCGAAAATCAAGTTGGGGTTTTTTCTTTCTTCCCCTATCTATTTTCCATTTATTTTTTATCGTCCATGGGCCTTTGGGGGGCGGTATGGTATTGGTTGGGATTTATTATCATAGTTGGATTGGCTTATTATAATGCTTGTGATTCCTCTTCAAGACGAAAAGGAATTATCTCCTAAGTTAATATTCTTCCCTAAGACAGCTCATATACAAGTATGATACAAGTACTAGTACTCTACAGTACTCGTACAAGCACGATTCCAATTCCCTCCACCCGTGCTGTATCATACCATCGTAAGTAAACACACTAACTTACCGTACCATAACTATGCCGAAATTCCCAACGCCTCCAGCCCCCCATCATCACCATCACCAAATCTCCTATGCCGTATTATACCCCACTACCACCATCACCATCATGGCGACACGCACAACCCCTATTAAGGATATTCCGCACATCGTCTCTGGACATCGTTGCCGGGAGAAACGCGTCGCTGTATGCTGAAGCTTTCCGCATAAATTTACAGCAGTCAGGAAGCTGTTAACCTAAACCCATGATGTAAGGGATTAGGAGGACGACAAAGGGTCAAACTGTCGACCTAAAATGGGAAGGTAGTTTTTGGTGGGGATAGCTATTCTTAGCTGTTTGCCCTTCGACTTGCCCTGCTGCCCCTCTGGTAGTAACAGTGATGCGCAGGATGGAATGGAATTTCGCTGTTCATCTTTTTCCTTTTTCATGGGTACCGTAGATTACCGGTACTCACCAAGGCATTGCTCTGGCTGGCAGACGTCACGGTGTGACATGGACCACACCCGATACTACATGGATCTCTCTACTGTACGAGTACTTGTACTGTACGAGTACTACCAGCCGGCCGGTTGGGGTCAGGCGGAGAGGTACAGTGCGGTAGTCTAACTGCGAAATAATAAATTGTTTAATAAATCGTAAGTATGATATTATGCCATACTCAAAATGAATATTTTCTTTTCTCTTCTCTACTATTTTTTATAACTAAATTGCAACATGATAACCGCAATAGAGTACCGGTGCGCCACCTCGGGTCGCTGCGGGAATTTTGGCATTTTCCATAATTATAAGGAGAGAAGGTCCCACTGTTTATCACAATTATGAGCGCAACGGTTCACGTTGTTGAGAGTTGTCGGGTCGAAGCGCACGGGGGAGGGGGGGGGGTCGACAGAGCGTGGGCCGGTAATAGGTGTTGAGATCGGGAGTATATTTTTTTGTCCCCTTTTCTTTTTTCTTTTCTCTCTCCTGCCATTGTTGCTGACCCTTATTCACGCGTACCGTATCAGTGCAGCGCAGTTAGAAAATGTGAAGTGGAAGTTGAAAATGTGACGACGTTTAAGTGTGCCTCTGGATGCTCGTACAAATGCACGGAGCAGGCAAGAGGGATCCATTGACAGGGGATTATGGAGAAAACATCTAAAATACCATCGATTACAGGGGGGTATGTTTAATATACCATGCCATACCATCGGCAGGGGTTCAGTGGGCAAACTTGGACCGCTTGCCCTGAGCATAAGACAAGCTCCCAACACCCTCGGACTCAAGTAATCCATTTTATGCAAAGTTACAGTACCGTAAAATCCCTTATAATCCACTATCTCCGTAGCACCTGGTATCTCCGGTCAGGGGTTAAGCGAGATGTTGAAACAGTGAGAACGGAATGATGGTTTTGGAACTGGTTGAGTGACGAGAAGAATAATGAATTGCTTAATTGACTTCTCAGTAGAGAGCAAACTACCCAGACTATCTACTGTTGAGAGCAAGACACAAGTTGCGAGTAAATCAACAGTAGGAAGTAAACAGAAACAGAGAGAAGAAAAGAAATCAAGGAGGTATGTTCAATAGTACCAATATTGTAAGGGGGTTTTGAGATGGCGATCAAGACTAATGCAAGGAGAAAATCAATAGTGCGAGTGATACTACGGTAGTGCCAGAAGCATATTTCAACACTCCCCCTCTTCTGCCATACCGTGAGAAGGAAAACAGAAATAAAAATAAACAATAAAGGAAAGTCTTTGAACATCATCGAGCACCGGTAAAACCCCCTATCCATAAGTGTCTCAAGGGGGAAAGGTATACTCTCAGCTCTTCCTTAGAACAGTTAATAACAAAAGGAAAAACATTTCAAACAAACAGGCCTGATATCTAACCCGAAAAAGGTACTTCCTAGACTACAGTCTCCATCCCGATCCTTTCCATATGACGCCAGTGGAGGTCTCTTGCGAGAGGCTTCGTAAGTATGTCCGCGGACATATCGTGTGTTGAGATGTGGCGAAACAAGACTGTTCCCTGCTCGACGATATCGCGGACGTAGTGGTATTTTATGTCTATGTGTTTCGTTCGCTCGTGATGCCGCACGTTCGAGATTTGCGCAAGTCCGCCAGTGCTGTCGGTGTAGATGATAGTCGGAGAGGAGAACGATTCTGAGTCGGTGGGGGAGATTGTATCCATGAGATCTCCGATTAGACGACGAAGCCAAACAGCTTCTCTTCCAGCTTCTGACGCAGCTATGTACTCTGCCTCGGTAGTTGAAAGGGCGACAATTGTTTGCTTCTTAGCCTTCCAGGCTACGACACACTCTGAGAGTAGAAAAACAAATCCACCTGTCGACTTCCGATCACCTAAATCCCCTGCCCAATCCGAGTCCGAGAATCCCTTGAGAGACCTGTCAAGCGGGGTCTCGCTTCTCCTATAGCAGAGCTTTATATCTCTTGTCTGCTTCAAATATCTTAGAACACGCTTGGCCTGCGCAAGGTGTTCCGACCCGGCGGAAGCGGAGAATTTTGAGAGGATCGATATCGTGAACGCTAGATCAGGTCGTGTTCCTAACATTAGGTACATAATACTCCCAACCAAGGATTGATAGAGTTGCTGATCCTCAGGCACAAGTGGTTTGAATTCCAGAGAAGGTCGAACTTCGAGCGGCGTCCAAATGCCGTTACAATCGCTCATGCCGAACCGTCGTAGGACTGATTCTACGAAGTGTCGTTGACCGATACGAATCTTTTCCGGGAGCTGTCCGATATCGATGCCTAGGAATTGGCGTGACAATCCAAGATCTGTCATCTTGTATCGGCTTACAAGAAGTTGCTTCACCGTTGCAATGGCCGAAGGGTTACTTGACGCTAAAAGGATATCGTCTACGTATAGCAGCAGTATGACTTTGTGCGAGGAAGAGATGTAGAGATTAGCATCACCTGAGGATGGGATAAAACCTTGCGACTGAAGGAAGCGATTGATATCGCTAAACCAAAGGTGGGGAGCTTCTTTAAGCCCATATAGGGCCTTCTTTAACCGGCACACTCCGCCAGGAGATGCCCCGGGGTGCAACCACTCTATGCCTTTGGGCAACGCCATAAAGACCAGATCGTTGACTACGGGATTCAGAAAGGCGGTGATGACATCCATTTGATGGATTTTCCAGCCGAGTTGGGCAGCGAGGGCGATTAGGATTCTGAATGTTGTCAGCCGGGCAACTGGAGCGTAAGTCTCACCAAATTCCGTTTGCTCATATCCTTTAATAACGAGACGGGCTTTATAGCGGATAGAACGGTCAGAGTTATGCTTAACTCTGAACACCCATTTGCATCCAATGATCTTTGCCTCACGAATATCATCGTGACTGACAACCTCCCAGGTGTCATTTTCAATAAGAGAGTTGAACTCTTGTTTCATGGCACTCCGCCACGCTGTATGGGAGACAGCATCTGCGTAACTCTCCGGGTCGTCACCCGGACGGAGTTCGCTAACATTCTTGGCTTCAGCAGCAATTGCTTGGACAGGCTGACGGCGTCGAAGAGATCGACGAAGCATTTGATTTGATTCTTGCGCGCGCTTCAGAAGCCTTTCAGGTCCCAGTGACATTGGGCCAGCTTTCTCTGGTTCCTGTACCGTCGGACCAACTTTAATTCTTTTCGGCACCGGTAACGTCGGGCCACTAGAGGAGCTCTCGAGATCGAGTGTTGTTTGGCCGATTTGGAGATTGTCGTGCTCCACTCTGACTTTCTTCTCCCCCTCGACAATCATAGCAGCTCGGCTGCTTTCTTTTCTAACGACCCTCCGATCCCCATTCTCCCCAGTCTCAGGGACGAGAATTTTATTTGGTGGTGGGACCGGGTTGACAGGTACGTCATTGCCCTCACCCCTGGTCATCGGGGTCTTGGCAGCTCCCAGCTTAAGTTCTTCTGCCTTAGCGTCAACGGCAGCCACGCTTCCAATCTCATCATCATCCTCTACCCCATCCACAAGAGGAACAAATTCTTTGAGCACGTCACGACCTGGACCGTGCTTCACATCACCAGGGGTACGAGATTCATCAAAGACAACATCGGATGAACGAACAATTGCACGGAATTCGGGGTCCCATAGCCGCCAAATCTTTGCGGTATCATGCACATAACCGATCATGATGCATTCGCGAGAACGTGGACCGAATTTACCATTCCGTTGCTCCTTCGGAATAAGTCTACTAGCTGAGCAACTGAAGCGACGAAGGTGGCCGAGGTCTGGTTTGATGCCGTGCAGCATTTCGTACGGTGACCGACCCCCAAGTGAAGTCGATGGAGAACGGCTGTGAAGATAGAGTGCCGTCTCAACTGCTTCGGCCCACATTGCATCAGGTAAGTTCGAGTCCAGGAGAATTGCTCTCCCCTTCCCAATTATTGTTCGAATCATTCTTTCCGCTATGCCGTTCTTGTGCTGACAGTAAGGCGGTGCAGGTTCGAAAAGGATTCCACCAACACGCAGGATACCACGGAAGAGGGAGTTGTCATATTCCCCCTTGCCGTTATCGCATCTGAATCGCGAAATCGGCCAGTTCGGAAAAGCTGTTTCGACCCGCGCCTGAAATTCTTGAAAGATTCTCGTAATCTCAATGGATTCCTTCAACCGCAGAAAATAGCCATATGCCCAGCGCGTATAATCATCGATGTAGAGGATGAGATAACGGGATCCGGACCAGGACGGGGTCCCAATCGGGCCACAGAGATCGGAGTGAATGAGCTCAAAGGGTCTTGCAGTTCTGGCGACAGGAAGTCGGACAAAGGTGCGCTGATGCTTTGCTTCGATGCATGTATGGCAGGGTGGAATATCGCCGATGGGGAGACCAGTGATGGAGGAAACAGCTCGAAAATTGAGATGGGCCAGTCGTTGATGCC